TCAAACATCATAAAGTTTTCTATCTTATTGCAACTTCAGCAAACGGGTGCGATTCTCTCGCCTCGCTTTCCCTGATTTACCTCCTCCAATAAAACCGTACTACTTACGCCTCATTTTAAAGCTATCAAGGAAGCCAAAACGACGGACCAGTACAGGAAACCATGAACGAGCATCTAGCGCTACCCATCTCGGGTTCGCTTGCTGTGACAAAGGTCATTCAGCTCTCTGATACAGTAGTCGAGACCATCACGGTGTTTCTGGTGGGCTGTCGCACGAGGCGGTGCCAGTTGAGGGTTGTTTCAAAAAAATCACCACGAAGCTGACAGCCACATTTCGCTGATCTCCTTGCAAAGCCAGAACACGGATCGCTTCACTCAGGGCCATTACGCGGAAGGGGAAGCAGGGGACATTTTGTGGTTTTAGTCACCCTTCACTACCCGTCTGCCGGAAAGCAGATTTTGGAGAAGCTGTCAGCGTTCCCAACAATCAACCATACATCCGAGGATCGCCCTCCAGTGGCTTAAAAGCTGGGCCACGGATGTCCCAGAGGAGGGTTTTGAAAAACGCTTCCGCTTTGTTTGAGTTCAGCTGACCCCAAACTTATGGCCAAACCGATAATATGTATGACCCCCCGTGCTCTTGAAAGCAAGCCGACGCAAATGGCGGCAGCTATGCATTGCAACTTCTGCTCAACCGTCGCAGACCCGTTGACTACCAAGGGCGGCGATGCTCGCGAGGAGACAAGAATTGCGTGGACTCAGCGTCCAGTGTACGTAGAGATATCATCGACCATAAAGGCGCGGCATAAAAAACTCCACGCTCACGTCACAACTTTTTGGCTGGAATGGGCCAAATATACGGTTACGAGCGGTGAAACCTACCGACAAATCAAATATAAGCTTTGACCTCGACACCAAGTACTGCTGCAAGAATCCTACAGTCATTAAGTATGTGAAACCGACATTCTCCGGCTCCAATCAGCCGGAATTGGTTTCTGTAATTTCGAAAAAAGCCGTCACGGGCCGAAACCACAAACTGTACAAAAGCGAATCAAAACATCCTTCGCACACCCAGTTGGCCACGTTGGTTGCGGGTGAATAGGGAGTCCACAAGAAACACGGAGAAAGTGACTCATTCAAATATGCTGCATAAATTTCGCCAAATCAGGACTGCTGGTTAACTTCAAGGTGCAGTCCTCCGCAAAAACTAGCTTCATGGGAAAGGCGCCAAAAGAACTACTTCTTGATGCTTTCCCCAACGCAAAGAATCTTGCATATGGCTTACTGATCAAACCACGCAAAAATGCCAAGCGAACCAAACTGAAGCATATTTGCCCTAACTGTATGAACAACAGCAAGCAACTAGCCACAAACAACAGCAGTCTAAGCTTGGCTCACGAGGGGAACAAACTACGTCCCTCGAGGAGAAATGCACGTGCAAACTGGACTTCAATGGAGCCAAAAGTACCCTGAAAATGAAAAGTATCCCTCAAAACCAGACAAGTATACCGCAGAGAGCCCTTTGGAGCCCTGGACTCAAATCCAGCTAGCTCTAACCTTCCGAGGCAGCACAGAAAGTGTTGATATGCTTGTCCACAAATCGCCTCAGTTTAACAACGGAATTTACAATATTTGACAGTCAATTTGCCTTAACCCACCGTCCGAAACCGCACTCCCAAAGACCTGGCTTACATGAGATTCTCTGACGCGAAGATCTCGACTGGCGATTTCGGGCTGATTCAAAACGGAGCAGGGACGGTGGGGCGGCCCGTCTCATAGCAATCGTCCTTTCTGATACCACTCCCGCACCATTTTGCGATGCACTGTTGATTCAAATCACGCTACACGGGATCGGTTTTATTCTCCTCGGCGCGGTCTGCTGTTGTCCACTGAATTCCCGGAACACGACCGATTCCTCATACAAAAAAACTGAGGAACTCACCTCCAGTTGCCACTTCACGCATCTTGTGATGGTAGGTGATTTCCGGAAGAAGTTGAATCCCGTCGGGTCCAGTGGACAAGATGCAGCAGCGCTGACCAAAGTCGTTCAACGGAGATCTCAGACTCGGCATGTCGCCAAACCCATTAGATATAATGCAGGTCAACTACAACCTCTCCGGGATTCGGTAATCACCAACGAAAGACACCTTGTTGGTCAAGTGTTACCTCCCCAGTGGGGCATAGTGAAGACTTTGTACTGACTTTTGCCTTCATTTGCCACTGAGGCAGCAATCCTGAACCCCAAACGTTCAGGCTTCTCAGGAACGCGCACATTTCTCGATCAATTTAAAATAGGGCCAGCTCCACGCTGGCAAACCCCTCCACTTGATGTTTTGTCAGTCTCTTGACGGAGGCAAACTTCCCTCTGCTTGGAAGGAAGAGGTTGCCAAACCGATCTACAACACTGGTGGCTGACTGTCGCCCGGCAACTGCAGGCCTATTAGCCTCACCAGTGTACCAGGCAAAGTATTGGAACGCATTCGGAAGCAAGTCATCGCAGATCATCTTACTACCAACGACTTGAAACCTCTACTTCAACGCGGCTTTCTCCCAAGCGGCCCTTGTGCACCGGCAACTGCCTATTAGCCTCACCAGTGTACCAGGCAAAGTATTGGAACGCATTCGGAAGCAAGTCATCGCAGATCACCTTACTACCAACCAACTGAAACCTCTACTTTCCGATCGTTTTTCAAGCCCACATATACTTTCTGCGGACGAATGGAAATCCCAGAGTTCTACTGCTAGTGTCCTCCAAACGGATGGAGAACCTGCAAAGCGGTGGTCGTTGGCCAAGCATTTACCTCTAAATGACGATAAGTCCTTCCATCATCTTACTACCAACGACTTGAAACCTCTACTTCAACACGGCTTTCTCCCAAGCGGCCCTTGTGCGACGAAATTCCTTGTCTTTATGGCAGCTTAAATAAATTCATGGACGAGGGACTCATATCGCCTGTCATATTTTCGGCTCCCCACTGACCCACAAACACGGGTCTTACGGGATTCAGGGTGAACTTCTCCGTTGGATTAAGGTGTTGCTACCAGAAAAACACTCCGAGCGAAAGTAGGCCGATCCACACTTCTCCGACGCCGGTCTCCATGGAAGTTCCACAAGGCTCCTTTTGGGACCACTGCTGCTTTTATTCTACGCCACCGACATTCCGATCGTTTTTTCAAGCCCACATATACTTTCTGCGGACGAATGGAAATCCCAGAGTTCTACTGCTAGTGTCCTCCAAACGGATGGAGACACTGCAAAGCGGTGGTCGTTGGCCAAGCATTTACTTCTAAATGACAATAAGTCCTTCCTTGTGGCATTCCAGGAAGACTGAACGAACGCCCTTGTCGTGAATGGTGAGAACGGACCAGAAGACATCACAATAATGGATGTCAGAAGGTTCTGGGTATCTGGCTCTCTTTGAAGATATTTTCACTGCACCATGAAGAAGCAGCTCAAAACGCAGTCGCCGTTTTGCGGGTTATTCGCCGCACCTTCTGCGTTACTCCCATGGACTCCAAATACTCTGTGGGCTTACGTCAGACTGCCTATCGAATTCGTCAACCAATCAATCTACTAAGGACGCGAAAAGGGCGTAACCCTAGATATCATATCCAAAGAGCTGCCACGAAAATAGTCGCCAGCCTTAAATCAGTGGACTATGAAACGCGTTTCTCGGTGCTTGACTACTTTCTCCAGGAGTATCATCGTCTCAGAGGAGACCTAATTCTTACTTATGCCCTTTTTAGAAAAAATTTGTCCAACATATTTTTCACCGTTGACCCAGCTTACGGGGAGGTCTTGGTAAGAAGATTTTTAATCTCAGAGTGAACATTGGTGTTAGGCAATTTTCCTCACTTCGTGTAGATGCTGCGTGGACCAACCTTCTTCCGACGATCGTACACGCTACATCTGATACCCAGTTCAAAGCAGTATAAGGCGCTTTTTATGGGAGTTATCACACTGGCAAGCCTACCACCCAGCACTGATAACTTAAAGAGCGGTGTTGCGCCATTTTTACATCTCTCAGGTGAACGACAGCTGAACGACACTAACAAAATCGACCCGGAAAACTCGGGTTAAAGCTTGGATCCTCTGTACCAGTCCGTGAATCTCTATTCTTCTCACTGACTGACCCTAGTTTCCGGCTTTACTCCTATAAACAATGACATTGCTATTTGCTCATTTGCTGTCCACACACCATTAAATACTGGAATTTCACTCGCTGCCCAGACGTCCGTACAATCAACCTCCGCCTGACACCGCAAGTTGTGAGGCAGAAAATTCCATCCCAATTCAGCCAGTGTATGACTTTGAGTCTGAGAATGACACCAGGCTACCCGAATCTGCTAATGTTTGAGTTGTTACCCGCATATAAACCTACTGTATCCATTGTACCTACCTGACCTGGAACTCAGAGTTTAAGTTAATCAGAAGTTATTTACTCAGCTCACAGTGGAAATTGAAAATGCAATCTCAGGCCTTTTCCGGCCGCTTCGGCGTCTCGTCCTGTATCCAACTTGATGTGGGCAGCTAATGCTGTTCACAGCGGTGTGTGACAGATTTTTGCAGAAAACTAGCTTGAAAGGGAACTTGAAAACTGGGCCACATGAGCAAGAGGTTTGCCAAATCAGTTGATGTCTCATTTACTACACAACGATTGACATGAAGTAAGTAGTCCTCAAAAGAATGATCAAACGAACGTTGGATTCTTTTCTATGCGTACACGGAACAGGTGATTCGGAGGTAGGTAATTTCGTGTGCAGGCGGTCCTATGTTGAGGTCATACCTTACGTCGATCACGTCATGGCGATCCCTTTTCCGGTGGTTGATTGGACATGCACTATAAATACCTCATTTTTCGACTGTAAAGTTATAAACAATCACTGAATGGCACATTAGGAACCACTGATTTGTGTCAACAACACTCCCATCACATGCATGTGGGGAACGTACAAGTCGCCGGGGATTTTATTTTACAAAAACATCACACCTTAGGCAAAAACGGAGTACGCCTGGAACAGACTTTTAAAAAGGCTGTTGCGGTGCGTATGAATCAAATCAAGGCTGTATTTGTTGTCGAAATTCTAAGGAGCCTTTCATGAACTCCTCATAGTTCACAGAATCGAAAGATTAAAAGGTTATGGTAATTGTGATATTCCTGCAAATGTATACTATATCTACAGATTTCTGTAGCGCTATAGAAATCTAGGGCTTTATTATATTGATGGTTCGTGAAAGTCAGTGTAATATGAGCAGGCAACGTAAGACGTTATACATGTTGTTAATTGTCTTCGAGAAGACCTTAGATCAAGTAGATTACGTGTTTCAATATGCCGAAATTCTCGAACCGATGTACAATCTGATGGATTTCCTTTTCGATAAAAATCTGGTAGACGTGAAGAAAACGGTCCTTTCTTGGAACTGAGTCTGGACATTCGTGAGGCATCACAAGGAGCTGTTGTGGGACCCAGGCTGTGTGCTTGCACTGGAACTGCCTGGTAATCACGGATGATATTAAGCTGTAAAAGGTGGTCGGTATCAGTGAGAACGAATTGGAACTACAGGTTAATCTCGACAAGTTGGGAGACTGGTATCGAGAATTTAAACTCCAATAACGCCAAAAAATTCGGACTGGTTATAGCGGGCTTCTCGTGCAGGACCGAAGACGGTTGCAATGTTGTGCACTGCACTGAATCTAAGATTCCTCAGACAGGACAACCTTATACCCACTCACACACGGTGGTGGCGGGAGTGGGAAAACGTCAGTCACTGGATTTTCAGTGAGGCTTTCTGCCTTAAGCTGTTCAGCTCTGAAATATAATCATGTCCTCAAACTGTTATGCCTTAAAAGTGAGACACAACAACTGGAGCAAGCGAAGTAACCGAGTGTCCGAATGAGGGGTAGAATGCGGGAACTGTCCGCTGGGAAACGGTACCAAGCAAAGAAGTTTCGTGTGCCAGAGTATAGATGACACAGGGTCTGTTTATTTTTTCTGTTCAAGGCTTTTTAACCAGAGGAATATCCAAACCTACATTTCTTCATGCGTGGATCACGAAAACAAGAGGCTACATTTACAAACTTGAGGTCCNTATATATATATATAACTGTAAGCCGTGCGCAACATTGGCGACCCGATTGGATAAAGCCAAACAAACTTAGCTAGTTAAAGCTGGGCTTAAATCAGCTGGGTCTGTGGCGATACAAGACTCTAGATAAAGGGTTTTTAGTGGAGCTTGACGCACAAGAAAACAAACTCACCGTTACACCGCTCGGGTGATCCCGAAAAATTTTGCCCACTTAACTAAGGTGAGCAGAAATTGACGGCGGTCTACCATACTTAAGCAAGAAAGCGTATAAATGCTTTTCTAGACAAGCCAAAGAATCGCGCATGCCTCGAAACACCTCGTATGTCAACTCGGACTGGGTGGTTGTTTGCAGGCGGACTTTTGTTCGGTCAACAGAATGTTGGAAAGATTACATTACCGTATTAAATTTCAGGTTGTTTTGAGTGCTACAATGCTGTGACCTTGTTGCTCTGTTCCTCTGATGATTGGACTTTATAGATTATACAACTAAAAAGACCAATGATATCTTTCGTTTCATAATCATTAGTTTTGAAGCACTAACCAAGATGCTAAAATCGAGGTTTCTCTGAATGATCTTTATGCAGTCCATAAAATCTCGTACTGGATACAGTAAAATATGCGGTTGGTTAGACACACCCATGAATCAGATCAGTTTGTAAGCCCGGTTAACAGTCAAAGTTAGTGACATTCCAGCGCACAACGAAGCGTGGCTAGCCGGCCATCACAGTTTCCTTGGATCATGGGAAGACTGAAGTTCATAGGATCCATTACATTCTACAATTTCCTGCCAACGCGCTAGCAGTGTACATCACTTCAATCTTGAGGTGGCCAGCAGTATAAAGTGGCTGATCAACAGGCCTTAATAGTCCGCGCCGCTACTGTTTGGAAGTTCTGACAGATTGGTCAGCCAGGGTAGTTGCTAGTTCGTTGCTTGACAAAGATACCACATCGCTCAAGTCTAAAGATGTTTACATTTTTACACGCGAAAATTTAGCCTTTTACAGTATGCGCCAGTGGACTCCACTTTACCTGTAAAAATCGCGTGCTCACCGTAAATTGGTTAAGACTCCCGCAGTTCACAAATGATTTGTGAATTTGGGGGGTAGATAGTTACCCACTGGAGGTGGTAGCTGGTGTGATTGGTGTGTAAACACGGAAGGGTCAACCAACTTCTTATCGGGGAAGTCAAGAGGGTCTATGAGTAGAAGCCAACAGCTTGGCTGCTTAAGCACGATTCAGCTCGTGAATAGACTATTTCCGTCAATGTCTCCAGGCAATGTTTTCCGTCCTGGGGACCTATCTGGAGGGACAGCAATGACCAGCGTAGCTGCCTTTGCTGGTGATGGCTTTCACGCTTCAATGCCTAGCTCGTTTCCACCCTTCGCGTTGTTGTGCAAAAAGGTACCTTCGAGGAAGCCAGTTGACTGGCACAAAAGGCATGCAAAAAATCCAACGCAACTTGTTGAGTTGGATCAGTTCGTCTATAACGGGCGTGTTATCTTCTAAGAAGGCCATTCAGTGCACCTCAACATTACTGATTTGGTTTTTTCGCCAGATCCAAAACAATTGTCCAACGGCATCGGTGTTCAAACACTAAAAGCGTTTTTTGACATCATCGGCGCGAAGATGCCAATTTCCTGACCCATATGTTATTATGGAGCATACCGCAGCATTGTAACCTTAACCTTTGACAGATAAGCTGATTCAGAGGTGATGAGGGATTTTTGAAAGCTATTTGGACCTTCCAGATCCGAATAGGAATATCATCCTTGACTATGCCAGCTGGACTGAGGAGCTTCCTAGAAGACCAATGTGTCTATTACCTCAGTCGGCTCATCCGCATGCATGTCTAGGCTTCGAGCCTACCCAGTCTTGTGGCGGCACTTTACACTTTGCAGGTGTAAAACGCATGCCAAACCGTGAGGCATAATTATCTATATTGTTCAGTATCGTCTGCCTCACAGTGACCTCAGATCCAAGAAGAACTATTTCATCTTCGTGCTCGATATCTGTGAGAAAATGCCCTGGGAAAATTTTGGGCCGCTGGCCTGAGAGTCTGAGGGTGAGTCTTTCTTTATCGTATCAATGACAGAATTGAAAAGGGAAGGTGAAAGAACACACCGCCCTGTCTGACACTACTTGCTGTAGCGAAATTAGGCAATGGCCTTTCGTAGGCCTTCATGCGTTCGTGGGAGTTTGCGTGTAGCTCCTTATGGTGGTCAATAACTTACGGATCACCTTTGCTCCATAAATATAATCATAGTGCCTGACAGATATAAATGAATTTATGGACCACCTTTTCACTGATAGTCTCGCTTAACATTCTGTTATACTAACTAGTGTAGGACACGCTTGTTGCTGCCCGAAGAAGCCTTCTCCATCTTTGCATTCGATGTCTACAGAAGTTCTCGGTCTTTCCCCAAGCTATCTAATATTTGGCGTTCTAGGGATTTGGCACAGTCGCATTCGTTGTCTGCAAGTATGGGTTTCAGGCATCAATCAGTGCTAGCGGTCGTAACGATATACAATGCTCATTTGATCGTATCGGGAAAGTCGGACAGCAGCTCCAAACGCTACTGCCATAGCTCCTTTCAAATTTAGCCATACTTAATTCACGTGTTTCATGTAGAGAGTAGTTGAGCTAGCTTAGATCGATACTGGCGAACTGTGGTTGTTCTCCGAAGTTCGTGGATTAGAGTAATTCTTGCTGACTTGCGAGGGCCCAAAGAAAAACGGATTGTCAATTATGATGGCATTCTGGCGTGATCAAAATCGATTTATAGGCCCCAGAAGGAATGACAATTTTGAATACAGCCTTGTCTGATAGCCATATTATCCTACGAGGTTCACAGTTGATTTGCATTTGCTGACCGCCAGGTCGCGCAATGCTAACTTTCATCCTGAACGTTTATAATGACCGAAAACAGTTCGTGATGAGCACACAAATGAAGGAGTCGCTCTTTGTTGTGTGTTTGACGAGCATCGAATCCGAATTGATCGCCCAGATGTGATTACAAAAAATTGAGACGACTGACTTAGCCATTCATATTGACCATGAGGGTCGAATTGTCAGTGTTTCTTGTTTGGCGAACGGGTCCAAATAATTCTGGGTATTAAGTATCCTTCTCAGCGTCTGGACTGCAGCTCGTCATGACATATGCTGAAAATACAAGAAGGTACCGTTTTTTGTGTCGAGTGGTTTTGAGTTGGAGTCAGCTGGATAACTGAACGGTGCAAAGACGGGGTTCCTGTCGTTGCTTCTGCCTCAAAAGTCTAGAGTACAGTCTAAAGTGATCAGTAAGGCTTTCTTGAGGGACCATGCCCGGAGCAGGTGATTCAATACCCTAACCTGCTTGGCTGATGAGGCCTGGACAAACCCGTAGGTTCATCTATTACGGAATTACTATCTGGCTCCTTATGTGGCTGCGAGCGGGTAGTGCCTTCTTAAGAGCACCGGACTTCTGTTTCAGAGTGTTTCAAAATTATCCATGATATAGCGGTTAGAGGACAAATTTAATGACCGAAAGGTCCGTGGTTTGAATCTGACCTCTGCATCTCAACTTCTCTTGTCTAAGATTGGGCAACCTGGTAGTATCCAAGCTCCGGCGCCTTATTCTGGTGGCACGGCAGCTAGGCACCAAAAGGGTGTTATAGCTGAACAATATATTATATTCTTTGTTGAATAATGCACCGAAAGTTTGTGGCCTAGACCATCTAACCCGTCCTTTTACGCTAGAAGTCGGCCCCGGTACTTCCATGAATATGAATATACTGGTCGTCTCTGTGGAACAACCTAGTCCCTTCACATTCCCATTCAGAATACAGTTACTAATATTACGGTATCTCGGCGCTGTTGGTCCACTCTGACCTTTCTGATATGGTTACACCTTGTAGTATGAGGATCCAGCCAATGTAGCCCGCGGGATCACTGCAGCATCCAAGCTCACCCACCCCGCTAAGGTGTCATCTTTAGCTCAGGATAATGGATTAGTGGTAACACGTTCGCATCGCATGCCAGATGGTCGAAGTCCACGCCTAGGTGTGACTAAAAACATGCACTTCTGATGAGCTCTGATAAGAGCGAAACTCGTTTCCAGTGCCACTCCCTTTAGAACAGGGTCACTAGAATAATTACACCGGGACGATGGGGCAAGTATTCCAGATAGAGTGGTGTGAATATGGACTCTAAAATATTGAAGCCGTTTACAACTGAGGTGACTGACTACATTATCTTGCGGCATCAGTCAACATCCTGTGGAAGACTACGTATCCCGCTGAAAATGGCAACATTTAACTTGGATTATCGGGAGTTTCTTCCGTCTTCAACACGGCTGGAAAGTATCACCTTTCCAGTGACTGCAACTGTGAGCCAAGTCACACGCAAACTATTGAGAAGGATATGGGACAATTTATTGTTTTGTTCACCTCCCGCACAGCACAAAACTGGTGCCGTAATTGTACTTCTTTAGATCCGCATCCGGCCTTGCTGTGTCTGGGGCTAGCAAGTAATAGCCATGGCTCATTTTGTAAAAAAAGCAACAAAATCTGCTTCTTTTTACTGGTTGCACAAGGGCAGATGCTTATCACTCCAAGTTCAGTGAAGCATGCCATCACGGCATATCTGAATATCCGATATATCATCCTTGATGTGCGTTTATAGCCTACTGTTATAGCTTACAGTTTCAGGATACCTCTCCGAACCCTCAAAACCGTAGCAAGTGGAGACTAAGAGCTCGCTTACTTACTAATCAGAATGACTCATCCAAGTAGCACGGTAGCGGATCGCCACCCACCTTTGTTTTGTTTGGTACTCCCTTGAATATCTCCGTGCTATCGTGCCAAATCCTAACGATGCTATCCAACCAGGGCAGCCTGAAGAGCATTATGCTGGAAAGTCAGTGGGCCTCAGGCTTGTGAACTTAGTGTCGGGAGAAATATTTTGCCATTGGTTTCGTCCAGTTTGTACATACGGTTCAGGGTTCATTTGCTCGGCGCCAGCCAACAAGAACTGCGGTCATCTTTGGGTGCACATATTCGCTGTAAGGTGTATATTTTACAAATTAGTATAACGAACAACCCTCCCGCAACACTGCATTGCCACCATAATTCCAGCATCAGTTATAATTATTTTTTATTCAATTTCAGATGAGATAGACCCAGAATGCTGGGTCCGCTTATAGTTGTTATACTTTCTTTGATTTGTGTAAACGCGCAGCAGCAACAAGGGTATCAGCTGCAGCCACTAACGTAAGTCGTTTTTAGTGCGCGAGTTACCATTCGAACCAAGATCGTACATTATACTCGCACCCAATCGGATTCGGGCCAATGAGCTTGTCCAAGTCACGGTTTCAATCTTTCGATTATTTTATCCGCAACTCAGTATCCGGATATCTATCAAGATTGATACAGATGAAATCATTTCGGCATTGGAGGTGTTCCGTTCTCCGGGTACAAGATTAATGCAACTAAAGGTTTGTTTACCCTTTCATTCTCTGTTCATTCGTCCTAACAAATTTACTGCTTCATTAAAAAACATTTTTGCTGTATTTTAAACGGAAAACCAAATGAATTACGTGGCGTAATATCAGCGCGATCATTATCGTAAATTTCACCCGCCTGTTGGCAGTCGGTCCGAAGAATCCGCGCCAGCTGACCTCGGAATCAACTATCTGTAAAGGATATAAGAAAATTCTTGATCTTCCCAAACTGAGCCTACCTGGTGAGGATGCAGTTCTCCAGCCGGGGGTGCCTGTCTGGAGCTAGACTAAATCCTTGATGATATACAAGAAGCTGATGATCATTTGAGCCTTCTGATTCTCAAAGAAATCTGAAGTATGCTTCTCTCAAAGAGAAATAATCACAGTTCGCTACTGGAGGCTCTTTTGTTTCAAAATGTCACTGAATCAGGCGAAAGAGTACTTTTGGATCAGTGTACTATTTGCTGTGATTTATTATCTACCTTTCAGATTTTGAAATTAAAAATTAGTTTATTTGTCATGAATATTAACAACCAGTTTGAGAGCGTGAGACCGGCACCAAGTCTGTACGTGACCCACTGTTCCCCTCTGTTCGCCTTAAGGCCCTAATTGTGACCTGTGTTTCTACAGCAGTAAAGCAGCATCAACCAATGCTCATGTTGCTGTTTCCCTGATGATAACGAAGCTGACAGCATCATAGCCAAGCAGGATTTTTGGTGTCGTTGACCTTCGTTTGGCCTTTGAAAGCAGAATAATCTATCCTTCGTATGTGACGACGATTTATTGGTACGCCTTTAGTTATGGTTCACTAACACAACGCCTCGAAAGTAGTTGTTCAGTATTCGAAGTGATCCTAATGGAGATCTAGATACTGCCGTAACTTCCTAAACAGCGCGTTAAACTGTATCAAAGTGACAAAAGTGAAATTAGATACACTGCCTTCTATTGAATGTCTATCCATTTTTTTGATTGCGCCTTGTTTCACAAAGCCTGCGCGAATAAGTGGAGTGATCTGTATTCAACCCGACTCAAGTACCAAATTGTAGATGCCACGGCGATGAATTACCTGTCGATAAAACTTCTCCTATCGTACATTTAGAGTAGAGACGGTGACTGAGTCTCCCGAGTGCATTTGACGAGAGATATGGGAAACCCGAAGTAAATGCCGGCGTCAACATGCCGTCAGATGTTTTGGATTTGGAAACTTGGCATTAACTTGGATTATCATCCGTGGACCCTGCCCTTTCATAAAAAGTCGAAAAACCTTCTGAAAAATTATATTTCATATGGGTAGGCAGAGTAGAGATAACGATGATACGTGTAGCCTGAACTTGCTTCAAAGTTGAAAGAAGAAATTATTTCACCTTATTTTAGTACATATTGGTCCACCTGCTCATTTTGATCTTCAACATTTTACGACTGAGCGTTATCATGGAAACGGCAAGCAGTATCCTTTCCTGAAAAAAACTGGTAGAGAGACGGAAAGAAAACTACTGTATGCAGGCAGGCTTGGATGCCGCTCTGTGGCATGGACCTGTATAAATATCTTGCAACTAGTGGTGCAAATCATGTTTATCATGTGAAAATTCAGGGTTTTTTAAATGCAAACAGTCACAGATCCGACGGCGAGCAACGCACTGTATCAGTTTGCATGAGCGAGGGATCATAACCACTGCTTACTGGCAGCGAAACATTTTTGTGGACGACTCTCGTACACAGTAAAAATCATGTAAATCTAAGGGTCTGAAAGGTTATTGTTCTCATCATGGTCAAGGCCAACATAGAGATCCAAATGATCTGCGAACGATCAGAATGGTAAGCGGGATATTTGTTACCCCATTATGATGCAGTATTGTACGTATAATTTACACCCAAACTAATCACGCGCTTTGCGTACACCATGGAATGTCGACTAATCTTGCAACAAGCACTTCCTTGCAAGTTCCAAAGGGCCAAGCATAGTGATGTCTTCACCAGACTGGTCCCTCCTGTTGGCTATTTCTTCACAGGAGGAAAACGGTGTTATCCAATACCCACTGTAATCCGTTTAGAGTCTATTTATATACTTAATGTGATCGATAAACTCTACCCAACTTCCCGTCATTCTTGATGGCTTTATTCCTTTTCCAGGTTCCCGACTACACACGAAATGCAACTTACTGGTTCCATGTCGAAGGATCTATCGTAGCCAATAGCTCTCTATTGTTCTTCAATCGCACCAAACTCGAATTTATGCCCCAGTCGGCGTCTTTCTTCATACAAGTACTTCAGGTTGTAATTCATGCTCTTTGGCTCAGGTCAGCAAACCAGTTTATCATCAGAGCCAAATTGTTCGATTCCGAGTGATACCTGTGTTACCAGATTTGACCCCATTATACGGTTCTCTTGTGAGTATTGAGGTTTTGGATGCCTCGGGGAATCTTTTTCGAAGATGGCTCAATCCAATGACCAACACTGGAGGTAGGTTTATTGCTGAATATAAACTCATTCTGAGTAAACCGTGATACTGAGCATTACTACAGACTTGTGGTTTCAATAAGAACAAAATATCTTTCCAAGCCTAACGGATCACACTTGTTATCCTGTTATTCAAATAACACTGAATTGTTACTCGTGAAAGAATCCAAATTTGACGCTGAAAATATGCCCATGATCCGAGAACATACCTCTTCTGAAGTAAAAATGTTGATTAGTGGTTCTTCTAAATAAGTGAGCTTCGTGAATCATAACTAGCGAAACGGATCTGGATAAATTCGGAAACTTATTCGGGCTTCACTTATCGGTTAGTCCTGTTGTATCCGGATTAAAACGCCTAAGCAATAGCTGAGCTTACATAATGTGCATTTACTTGCAATAAACTGGTTAGACCGTAATAAGCATTACGTTCCCTGTGTAATTCTAGCATTGAGCCGAGTTAAAAAGCGCTTCGTTTTGCAAGTTTGCAACGAAACTCTTGAAAACAACTCGATGAGAGTAGCTGTGTGATTTTACGTCTTCAGTGAGTGTCTTCAAATCCTTTTAAGCAGTGCCGAAAGAGCAACCGAAGTTCTCTGATATTCCACAATTAAATGTACCCTGCTAGAGGCTGCTGGAGCAGGCGTAGTGGCAGTTTCTAGTTTGGTATTAAATGACTTGAGATTGATTATTACTGTTCCGGACTCGCTTTGTGCTCTTGGCAATGAACCCAAAACCAGCTAGCTAAACTGGCTTCATAGCTATTGCTGCTAAGTTTAAAATCAGCTAAGCAAGCAGTCAATCCGTTTCTTTGAATAAACTGTTTCGATGAGTAACTCACAATTTGGTTCTCCACGCGGCCAGTATCCGGCGATGGGAAGTGCCATCAACAGCTTGATGCAAAATGGCTTTGACTAACCAGTGGGAGAGTGATCATTTTGTCCTAGGCTCTATGAACGTTAGTTTCACTTTTTGGCTGAAAGATGTTCAGAAAGAACAGCATAGTCGTAATTTGTGATAAATTTGAATACTTCAAGCACGTTTACCTTTGTTCGGAGATAAAGATTACAGCTAGGCGCTCCATCGGTTCGTGTTCATAGGATCCACTTGATGACCACAGTAATTAATCCCATATGTGATAAACTGCGAGTGTTCATGACATTTATTCAAGCTCTGGCATGGAACAATGTTTGTCGTCACCTTGTCCGATTAGAAGATGGTTTTTCACAAATCATTTGCACAGAATAATCTCGAGTGAACAGAAACAGATCTGGAAGATCAACTAAACTCCTAATGATTTAATGACACAAAATTTGACAAGATAGTTTACTTTGCTTGCCTGCGTAAAGTCAGATATAGTATAATGGTAATACACCACTGTAGTCAACCATATTTAAGTCAGCTGACGGATTTGGAGCGCTGAAATCGTTTTCAGTGGCGTCTATTTAATCGTGAATCTGTGATGGTGATAAAATGCACTTACCTTAAATTATAGAAAGCACCATTCTTTTCTGTTCCGTGTTGACATCATGGGTGATAGATTTGTGGCAATTTGGTCTTCCTCTGCTTGTTTGTGGAACCATACATGGTTCTTTTGAGAGTGGTAACAATTTTGGTAGCAACTTACTGAAATTATTTGAAATATATCAGAGTTGTGTGATTTCCATTCCAACTTTCAGCAAATGCTACCCTCGGAGGTGTCTGCATGAACAATACCTATCAGAAGTTCGTATGTCAGGTTGTACCAAGTTGTAGAGAAAGCCACAGGCATCCTTGATCCTTTGTAAAAAGCACTGATTCGTGTGGACAACATGACGTAAAAAAACTTAAGCCAGTGGATGGACCTGTGCATTTAGACAAGGATAAACAATGTGCCCCTTAGATCAGATCACACGTTTTTGGTGTGTACAACGGGAACAATAAAAAGGTTTGTGTTAATGATTTGCAAAGTAACAGGAATCCTAACTTCATCCATACCAGGCTTGAACTGAATGATTTTCCACTATGATATTTCATTTGCTCATGCGTCGGAGTTAGTGAACGATACTTCGTATTTAGCAAATTATGCCTTTCTCACTCCTCACGCTTAAAGCCTAATTCCAAATGAGTTGTATTCCTATAGCATGGAATAGCCAGATGTAGTCTGTAACGCTGTCTTCCTCATTTCCTTTACCGTAATCAGTACATTATTCGAACTCCAAAATATTTCATATCCTTCAGGTATTATCGAACTGGATTTTCCACTCTCTGATATGGTACACGAAGGTGAATGGACTATTCGTGCTACACACGAGCTATTTTCAGCTTCGAAGACGTTTCGGGTTGTGGAATACTGTGAGTCTTGTTTCACAAATTGTCAGGTCCTCGTGCAATAGTACTCGTCTACTCGAACGTTTGCTATTTTTTCCAACTGGTCTTTAAGTCCTTAAACCAGGGCTTCTGGATTCGTCACGCTACATTGTACGATAATATTTCGCTACTGACACTCGCGCAAGTAGTGCGAAAGACGTCTACATTTAGTCTACCGCGCAGGGAAAAGAGCAACTAAAACACATTAAACACACGTTTAAACAAGTCTAAACAACACTGCCCGCAATATGCGATCGAGTAATGGGTTCATAAGAGACTGTCAAGTTTAGTAAAATACTGTACTAAATCTCCCGGTCATTCAGGCCACCAGAGTGAATTACGCCTTGCGATCGTCTTGAGTTGCATTCGTTATCTATCCAAACTCTCCGAACAATAAACTTTTCTGCAACTGAATAGTGTATCGGCAGCTGGCTTACAGATTCTCAGTTAAGAACCAGCAACATATTAGATAGAAGATAGCGAACTCCTCTGAAACCAAGGGAAGGTTATCAGATATCCCTATGGTACACCTTATGCTACACATCATACTTAAAGACATTAATGCTGTGTCGAATACAAGAGATCACACGTTGCTTCCAGCCCCATCTGTTATTGATGCTGATTATATGAAAGTCATCATAGTTAACTTTCGTATCTACCATGGGTCCGCAAATGGTATGGGGCTTGTGCGAAGCACCTAAGCGAATTTTAACGTCCTCACTCAGCAGGCATGGTCAGCTTACTATGCCTCAAGTTCACACTGATGAGAATACGTTCAATAAATTTAATCGTAAAATTCCACTTTAGTTCCATTGGAATCAAACAGTGAAGTGAGATGTTCTGCTAAATGAAACTCTCCACTGGAAGTCTCCCCTTTTGCTTCTCAGTTTGTCTTATCCGGGCCTAGTCTGCCAGGCGGTCTCTCAAGACATATGCCTTTCACGGAATCACGATAATAACACGTCAAACGTTGTGGCCGAAAACTGATTTGCCGAATCTCCATAACAAAACGGATGTTTTTTGGTGAGCCGACCGGAAACTGCTCTTTTCAACCATCATCCACATTTGGACTGCTTAGTGTACTTAGATAGTGTTTGAAATGGAGTCGTCAAGTTCTCAATCTATTTCAAATGCCCGCTTTTCGATCAGGTTGAATTTTCTTAGAGGGCGCGCCAGTTTATTTATCGGTGGTGACATCGGCTATGTAAGGTTATCGTCAAGCATTTGATTTGTCATGAGTGCGTTCAAACGAAGACGATAGTGTCAATGGGTCGAACTGCTGGTTCTAGTACCAGCGGTTCGTTAAGCCAAAAGAAAGCCGGTTTATCACAGTGTTTGATTTTTCTCTTAGGGGTTTTAGAGAAAACAATGAAAATTTCACTTAACATGCAAAATTTAACTAGCAAAGATGAAAACGCATTACCAACTAGGCACACATGGAGATGGAGTTTTATTTGAGTGTTTAAACAATCTCTGTAAGGTCACTAGTCCAAACAATGACCGCTTTTCCAAAAATGTTGCACATGTGTGTGGTGAGCCAATCTGTTTATCGTACCGGCCTGTCAAAACGCCATCTTTTGTATTTGGTCGTCTGGCAGTCCTAGTGCTTTTGTTGCAACCGCGAGTTTTCAAACCGCACCGACCCAGTGATGGCTCAGTCATTTGACTTATTGAAAAGGATTTTATTGCTATCGTTCAATAAAGCCCTGGTGGTATGCATTACACACCCCAGAACCCATAAACGAACAATTGTGGGCCCACAAAATGCAGTTGTTTGGCTGTGCCGCATTTCCAAAACTGCGTTTCATTACCTCCAGGTTTGTTACTTCTTCGGGACTTCTCTAATAGCGGTGTTCGTGTTCTTTCCTACGTAAGCCTGACCGTCCTGCCGTCAGTCTTACATAATATTGGCTGAAAATTGTTGCGCTGTAATTTGTATGTGCCAGTGGTCCTTTCCTAAAACGGTTGCGTGACCTGAAGACAGACATGGCTGTTGCGCAGAATATTATAAGGTTGAAACGTCGATGTTTTGTCACATTGGTCTAGAGTGCGTCTTAGTTTCCCCATAGTTTCTTCATCTCAAACATAGATACCGTGGAAATCGATTAGTTCGGCTCAGCAACGGCCGTTTTGGTTAACTGTGAGTCTCATCAAAGATAATATTGATGCATTTGAGGATTCGGCGAACTTGTCTTTCCGTTTCCCTCTAACTGGCTAACTTGGTCGCTCTAATCGTTTGTCGATGTAGCCTTCCTAACACCCACCGGATGCCGTTCTAACTGCGATTTCCACGAAACCATTTCTGTATAGTTTCATCTATATAGCGTAATCTGAGGAGATGGCACGGTTCATGTGGCCGGAGCATCATTTATTTAATACTTGAAAAATATCGTAGTTAGATGGCGGAATTTTTAGCCTCAAATTACTGAAATTTGGGCGCCTTTGTTGGGCGAATTCAGGTTTCGTAAATCCTCCTATTTCGATGTCAACCTAATAAACTTCTAATCGTTTGACGGTGCAGTTTGCCGTTTCGTCGCTATGGCCCACTGAACTGAGGATCCTAGACTGCGTGTTAACTGCAATTGTCATGTTTTGCCCCTGTGCCAACCGCTTTGCAACTCATACATGCACACATATGCATCTAACCAAGCACCCATCGAGCTTGCCTAAGTGACAAAGATCGGTTCCTTCTCTGACATTCGCTATCTTTTAACCGTTTTACAGTAAACTGCCAATTTTGGCTTTGCGCTCTGTTAACTGGTTAGCAAGAACGTGAATGCTGAAGTACCGGCCGTGCTTTGATAACTAGTCTTTATACGTGACTTTTTGAAGTGATCAAGTGACATTTCAATGTGACACTTGTTGGCTAGTAACGCATGCGGAAGAAATTGTCATGCTGGTGCTAGTCAGACTACTTGTTGAAAACCGAATTTCAACTGACAAATCTGAATGACATAGCATACTGAATGAACAGACAGCTTTTGAAAGTCAGTGTCTGGTTTTCAAACGGCTTCCTCGGTCCAAAAATCTACGTGCTCTTTAGGTCGTTCGTGTACGGTTGTTAAATACCATGTTAGACAGGTGTGCACAAGAGTAAAAAACATTCAAGAATGGAAATAAATTTGGTCATGAAGCACTGTTTTGAAGCGCATTTCCGCAACAGACAAAGTAGTATCATGGGGATTTGTTTTGCGCTTTGAAAAACTGAATGATATCTTTATATGACTTACACCGAATACCAAATAAATATGGATCGAATAGACGAATTCGGGCTTCCCAGTGTCAGTCGTAACCATGAACTTGGAAAAACCCTTGCCGGGTATGTTCGGGCCTTATCTGAGGAGAGTTTTTTATTCACATGTGGTCAGAGTGGTTGTATCGTGATGTCCTTGGGAAATCACACTTCGTGCTATACTAAATTCTTGTCTGCTTCATAATGTCGAAGCAAACCTACCTTCTCTTTAGCCCAAATAATTCAACGCTAAGTCTGGTATCCATGACGAGTCCATTGATGAGCTATAGGTTTGGTACATGCCTACGGTTTGGACCTGATGCATAATCAGTTAGCCCAGTCTTCTGTTGGGCCAGTTTACTCAATTAATCTTGTGAAAAGTCTCAAAGAATGCATCTGGGAAGGCCGCATGAAGCTCCGGCCAGAGCAGTGTCAGTTCAGAAAAAAGCCGTCATTACAGTCGCCACTCTACTGGACTAGTGGCTTCAATCCCGGAATCTCACTGTCTTACAGACCCACACTCAGATAGGAACGTGTAACCGCACATTTGGCTTGGTCTTCTCTCGGAATAATGATGTGTAAATGAAACGAATCACATGGTTGCTGAAAACTCTTCAGCAGAAGCCTTGTGGGCACTTTCCTTCATGAAGACGTACCGCGATATTTCGAACATCGTACCAACTGGAAATGAGGTGGTGGTTGTGCAGCACATTCGGGTGAACAATATCCTAAACGAGAGATTCAGCTGGGATTCAAGCGAGTCTCCCGTAAACACCAAAGTGGTCCTTGTCTTCCGGTTTTCCCATTGGCAGCGCAAAAGAGATCACTCTCAGGCAGGCTTATGGACCATCTCAGAGCTTCATCTGGTTGAACTCGATTGCAAGTGCACACCAAATGTTCTTTTTCTTGGTATGGTGTGAAAGCAATAAGCAGGTAGTTGGTATTTTTTCTTTTTTTTTCAGGGCGACCTCTGTGGGATGTGAACGTGACTGTGCCAATGCGAATGTTGGACAACGAACTCGCCTTTTACGGATTAGTGTCGGCCAATTACACCAGTGGTAAAGCTGTGCGTGGGAATGCAACTGTTCTCATTCAACTAAGAGAAGCTGGTGATAATCGGTGGATCATGCCTGCGCGCGCTCAACTAACTAAGAAACTTTACGCGGTATGTAGTGTATCATAATATTCCTTTCATGCCAGAATATCGCATTATTCTATTGAATCCCAATCGTTTTGGACAATTTATCAGCTTTCCCAAGCCAGTGAAACTCAGACTGCAGAATACATCTTAGTCTGGAACGCCCCCAACGACTAAATGGATACCCTCGTTCGTTCTTGTTCGAACATCGATCGAACCCCTCAAGGAACAAGTGTGGATTCAAAACTTTGAGCGTTAACTTTCAGCAAGAATTAGTACGAACTGCCGTACTAATTCACCAGCCCACATCGAAGGCCACTTGTGAGTAGATGAATACGTACTAACTAATTATCCGGGATCCGGGATAATGACCCCGTTGCTCGGTCAGGGGAGAACCAATTTGATCGTCCCCGTCACATAACATTGCAGATACTTTGTAGTTAACAGGATCCAGTGACTAATCTCTGTGAATTAGTCAGTTAGTCTTGGCCTGAACCGACTCCATGCCGTTTCGATTACTGTTAAGTAAAGCTCCGCTGATAACTTGCCCGATTTGTGCTGAGAAGCTGTGTTCAAGTGGTTCGTTTAGCTCTGAACTGACATTGCCATTTTCTCACGTATTCCTTTTCTTCTGGAAGTTGGCAACGTGGAGGTTAGTTCTTATCGCACGGGCCCAACGAAATCAGTCCCTCCCTCATGTTTTTTGAACGGTTTTACGTTTTGTTTAGGCTGCATCACATTCACTTAACTCATGGAAAAGCTCGTGAGTAGTCTCAGTAATATCCATACGACTGTGCAAATGCAGTTCATGCCTGTCTATATATCCTCAAGTCGAGTATTAGCGTATCCACCTCATAATCCAGTGTTGTTGGTATCATCCATCATCCCAGGTAACGAAAGACGGAGTTCATAACTGAACGTGGATTGTCGTCGTATTGATACAGTCAGTTTCCTAAGCAACCCTACTCCATAGGGAGACTAGGATGTCACTTATCTCGAGCAGAAGACCGAGTGAAAAATCACACAAATAGACTACCCTCCGGAGAGGTAAACATTCACTTTCCTTGTGAATTTCTCGTTCTGGTATATCACTTTATTTTTGTTATTCTCGCTGCGTAAGTTTGTCGTGAACTACTAGTTTTGCTTGATGTATACTCTCTCGTTTCCTCACAGGTTGATGGAATAGCTAGCTTTCTAATCACCCTGGACGATATTCGTCGTGCAATCACCGGAACCGGTGCCTCTACCTCTCTGGCTAATACAGAATTATGGGTTAACGTGACTTATTACAGTTGGTGGGAAACGGATGTGCGAACTGGTTGGGCCTACACGCAAGTATTCTCCTCAACGCCAATGATTCGTTTTCTCGGTGGTCAAGTGCGACCGTTTAAACCGAATATGTATTTTACCGCTTATGTGAGTTTGTGCAGTTCTGTCAAATGACACGCACCGATAAAATTTCATCCTGCACTATTTACGCTGCAACGGTAAGGGTGTAAAGTAACGAGTGCATCTAGTTTCGTGTTGATTGGTTCTCCTGACGGCTTAAAAAAACAATTTTTTGTCAACCTGGGGATTTCCCGGGTTGGAGATCTGGATCAACATGGAAATTGGGAATCATTACGCTGCTCATCGCTGTTGGTGGTCGATCAACAAATGCCACGTTATTTGGTGTCGATTAGGTCCCCGAGAGACCGATGGTCAATCGGCCTTATCGGCGCAGATACATGAACTATGTTCTTACGTGGTATGCAAATGAATGAAACCAGAAGTTTATACTCCACCACTGGTTGGTTGCAGGTCAAGGTCACACTTTCTGGCCCAAATAATCTATGTTTTACTTCACGAAAGGCTTGGTTTTAATGAAATTGTAGTATGCCATTGAATTACCTTCCTTGGCTAAATGTTGCGCTAAACGTATGATTCCTTAACTACTTCTGAGAGTCTACCCCGTCACATTAGTCGGTTCTTCTTGGTCATACTTGACTTGTTTTAGTTGACCTTTGGCTTGAAGAAATATACTTAGCTCTTTATTTACACCAAATTTCCACTACGGAATGGGAGTAGTGAAAATTCACAGTAAGGCGGAACAACACACAGTAACCAACCAAGCTCCAAATTCTTACGATTGGAGGCAGAACAAATGCTTGTGGTAGATAGACTTCATTCGTGCCTTGTATTCGGGTTTTATGAGCGGAATGTGACTAACGATTTTCCCGTTAGAATGCACTACACGTGACACTTCACTTCGACAGTTGGTCACCGGTTTTGCCGTTCGTTTGGGTCTCCAAACTAATGCAAACCTTGAGTTTTTGTCAACCTCATGACCTACATGAACACTAAATTGCATGTAGCTGGTTTTGCATCAAGAAAACATACAGCAATATTTCAAATATGTTACCAGCTAGGACATGAGGCTGCGTTCAAGATTATCATAAACAAAAGATTCAGCTGAATCACTCATTAACACTTAGTTAATTTGAAGACGAAGCCGGGCACTATTCGGTGTGGACTAGTGTATCCCAGTGAAAGTTCGCAAAAGTACGGCTTAACTGGGCCATTTACCGCTGACAAAGATGTCAGTCAATTGCGCGTTCACCCAGGCACGACGGTGATTTGATTACTTGTGTGGAAGACGTTTTTATTGGGCAACCCTCCCATAAAGTAGCACCCTCAAGGTAGAAGCATTCTGGTATTCCTGAAGTTGTCTTTACAAGAGATGCACCGTACCAAATGCTAATTCTGCCCACATCATCGCATTGTTTAGAAAACACCGGTTCACTGCACCCTCATAGTTATGAACCACCTTTTTCTGTTTAAATGCAATATTAGGTGTTCTTCCCGGGCAACTGGTTATTGCCGGTCATCCGCAAGAATAATCATTAGATGTAATCATGTACACAGCTAACGGTTGTGTCACATTCTAGTGATCACTTGACCATACTGGTCACATAGACTAGTTAACCTGTTTTGGTCTAAAAAAAAGGGAGTGTCCTACGTCCGAAGCAATACATATTCCTTAAACAGGAGACTTTGCCGCAGCACTACGCTGACCATTCGATAATGGGTGGATTACAAAAATCGGAAGGCTGTTAGGTCAACGGTCACATGAGTTCTACGTATGTGCAGACATTATATTAATTTAAGACCGACGGAAATGAAGCACCTATTACCGTATTATCCTGTTGTGTACTGATGTACACATTTCGGGAGCAACTATCCCTCTCCGCCAGAGACGTGTGCTAATTAATTTTCCATTTGGAGGACAATGAAAGGTTAGGCCTCAGCATTCATGATGATTACGAAAGGCCTGTTGTACGCTTTCTTTTTCAGGTTTATGGATGGTCTTTGCTGGTTTTATGCCCTTTTTCTATTGTTTGTATAAATACTCAATGTCTTAATGAACTGTGTGAAACCCTGGGCACATTGACTTTTGACTTTTTTACGCCTGGATTCAGCTTGTATGGAATATGTTATTCGAATCGGCTATTATTCCCCTAGATTGTCGTCTTCATGCCTGATGGAAGTATGGTTCAGTACTTTGGATCAAGACGAATTCGGCTGCAGTTTTTCTGTAACGAAAACACTCCATCTACGCCAGCCGTCAATTTGGTTGTCCCTGACAACGGTTTGGTCACTTATACCTATAGACCGAGCGGAGAAGGATGCGTTACATATCGACTTCAAGTAAGCTGTTCTGTGACCCACCATTTTCTGTTGTTCACTAGCTGCGTATGGCCTTAATTTTTACTAAAATTCAACATACTGCTGCATAAAGCATTCAGTGGTTTAGACTGGGAGAGTTTGGGAGTTTTGTGTAACAAAATTCTGTACAAATGAAGTTTTTTTTAAATTTTATGTGAAATCCTTTTTGAAAGACTTCGGTTACCGGGTATCCTTGCTACTTGTGTTCTACTGTTTCTGACTTGTTGGACCGATTGTGCTGGATCTACTGGTGACCGGTGTGGTTGGTCTTAGGATTTAGATACATGCTTCCTTGGGTCATGCTGGGAATTTTATATTCTTATTGGCTCTCTATCGTACTGGTTTGTTAACTCTACGATGCACCAGACGTTATGTGATTTTGGTGAATTCGCTCAGTTTTCTTAGGCAGGATAAGCAACTCTCGCTTGATGATAAAAATGCAGTGAACTACAGGTTAAATTGAAAAATCAAAAAACCTACGGATTATGGGGGTGTGGTCCACATGGAAAAACGTAGTGTTTGTGTAGAAACTTCCGACACGTTATAATATGCATGTTTCTCTCTTCGTTTCGGAGAGGTTTTGGCCTTGTTGTCGTGCCTACCAAGGACCAACAGTGCTAGAAAGCTTGTTGAGAGTCCTCTGAATGTGCCTACGACTACTCATCATGAAAAGGAAAATCCAACTGTTTGTTGACGTTAATATAAATCGTCCTCAAAAATGAATAATTTCCTAACCATTTGGACAACTTTCACCCTCACAGTTGCCCATGATTCTTACAAACTAGTGGTTTTTCTCTAGGACTGATGTACTGTGAGGGCGCCTATCAGTTAAACCCGAATCAGGCTGGCCAGACTTCGCGATAAGATGAAAGTGGAAGACCGAAAAACGGCTTTGCTGTCCATCCAACATACACGGCTAGTGAGTAAATACATAGGATGACTAGAAATTCGTTGACATTATGAGTAGTGCATTAGGAGTATACATTACCGTGATGTATCAAATATCGTAGCAACTGAAACATGAGGCGGCCTGGTGCAGCACATTCAGTTGCCTGGAAGCATCACAAACGAGAGATTCAGCTGGGTTCCAGGTGGGTCTCCCGCAAATCGAATGTGCTTGCAAATGAGTATATTTCGCTAATTTCATGCTATTTGGTTACAAGTAAAACATACTGTTGACAGAAACTCGTGCACTCCGCCTACCGGTCGTGGGCTGTCAAAGAGTTTTCAGCAACGTTGTGAGTAGTGTAATAGGTCTATAAATAGAAATTTCACTTTTCTGAAGTGTTAGCTTTTGCCTTCACGTATAAAGAAAAACAGTGAAATAGTGCAATAAGCCATGTGTTATTTTAGTGGACAATTATGTATCCCATGATTACTTCGTCACAGTGCTACGGAGACGAAAACCTCAGCCTTAAGAAATGGTGTGTTGGTAAGGAGTGGTCTTTTTTTTTAAAAAAACTATGCCCCTCAGTATTTGTTCCAACTAGCGTACTTATAGGCGAAGGAGTTCTATGCTAACTTGTTGGTGTGCTATTTTGGTACTAAACTGCAATGAAGGACAGGTGAATCAGACCAACCCACTTCGACGATTTTATCAGGCTTCCTGTGTGGACATCCACGACCTACACTAAAAATCGCCCTCCGCATTCCCCTAGATGTATGTTATTCACCAAGGGTTTTGTGTCTGTCCTATTGTTCAACTTGACATTTGTGGGTTAAGTCACAGTGCCATACCATCTGAGGATTGAAACGCACATATTCCTGAGTTTTGAAGAGGTTTTTATCACAGAAGCCAGAATGTGTTTCGGCTAGCCAATTCACAGCTGCTCATCAAGATAGAGTACAACGTCGTATTTATTCGTGGAATCGTCACTACTGTCGTTTCGACCAGTCGTTTTCAGGAGTAAGCCCTGAAAACGCCCAGCCCTTCTTCGGGTGCAATGAAACAGATGAGCCAAATGGGACATTGCGAAGACGCCGGATCCAATAGTGTTCTGATTGGGGAGAATGAGGCAACTATTCTTCGGAAACCTCGAGCTCAATAGAACCAAGGAACGGTTGCAGTGCTTCAGTGTAGATGTGGAAATCTAGATACAGAGTTTAAAAATGACTCTTACAAGTCGGTGCCAAACACCGTGATTTCTGATGTACTTTTGCAGAAAATGGTTGTGGAATAAGGATATGAGCTGGTACACATCGCCTTTAGTGGCTGGCTAGTGACCGTCAAACATATACCTGTAACGCGATGAGAAAGATGAAGTGATCGCTGACCCCATAACCTCTCAGGAGGAACAAATGTACTTCACCTGGATGGTTCTTTTACCCAGACGACAATTTTTTGAACGTTAGCGAGCGCACATCTTGCGTTCATATGGTTACTGAAAACTCTTCGACAGCCCTTTTTTGCCCTTCTGAGGGAGCTTCAGGTAATGTAGTCCCCAAGTTTTCGAATATCGCGCCAACTAAAACATGAGGCGGCACATTCAGTTGGAGAACATCATTGAGGATAGTTTGAACCGGGATTCAATTGAATCTCCCATAACGCCAGCCTAATTTGTAGCTGAGTGTATCTTGCCAGTGATGCCATTTTGTTTGCTGTTTTGACAGTTTATGCTACACAGAACATATGAATCTATTGACCCGAAACTAGGGTTTGCTTGCAAAGAACAAGCCCAGCGTCACCAAATGCCCTAGACCAAATTACAAGTATCTTTTTCGCTCCTTTTTGTGGGTGCAACAACAAGTGTGGAACATTGTCGGGAGCGAGTGCTTACAGAGTGCCCATGCAAGCTAACAAGACCGAGTTGTAAATGCAGGCTCACCATATTGCTTTTTTGGACTCTGGGCAAGGTAAACAGATTTGTTTGATCCGTTACAATCAGTATACATGTTGGTCGGGTGGCTGGATTCTAGTTATCAGTCTGTAAACTAGGGTTTTTGATCCCGCTTCGTCCAAGTGTTCGACTTTCGTGTTGAGTTTCTTAAATGTCCATTGATGTACTCTTAGGGTAGGGTATGGAAATATATCCTGTCGTATGTTGGCTTACAAAGTCTGAGTTAATGCCATCCAAATAAATAGCTATTTGTAAAGTGCACTCATTTGCATACCAATTTGTTTTTGATGCGAGACTCTTCTGGAACCCAGCTAAGTCTCTCACTTACGGTTTTTTGAAAGCTGTTTCCTTACTCTGTTGAACCAGGGTCTAATACAAGTTTTGTATATCATTTCACTGCATCACAGGCGGATTATATGGACGAAACAGACCGTATACTTGCAACAAGGAACCAACGCATCTTTCAATATCATTCATATTCGGACACATTTCTACAACTTTCTACTTCAACCTTGCAGCCACGGGTGAGTTTTTGATGCAAGGAATTAATGTACGAGAAACAGCAGTGATTCAGAAGCATGGAACAGTCATTGAAGCTAGCTCAATCTAAATCATGAGTATGCCATTCCATGACAGCTACCATTGCATCCACCCGCAGGGTGCCGTTTAAACAAAGATTCTTTCAAATGCATTCTGTAGCTGAGGTTCGAGAGCTGATTTCCTTGAACTGTGTTCATCTGTGTTTCCCATAACAAACATTGTTAGGAAATCTGTAAGACTCTGTGTGAGCTGGTAGCTCGGTTGTTGGAATGTGGAAGAAGAGTGGGTAGACTTTGAAATGAAAAGTCCAAAGACACTATAAGCGTCTGACAATGGCTCAGAGCAGGTGACAATTATCGGGTAAGTCTGAAGTGAATTATACAGATGGCTATCTTTGGTCGGTCAGACAGCGAATGCAACCTACTTTGTAATACTTTGAGTATGATTCACAGAAATCAATACTCCAAGGTGATGCTTATCAAGTAACTTGAGTTATTCGTCGGCTTTGATCTGCCTTTCATTCTTCCTAATTCATCGGTTCAGCGCTTCATCCCATGGTTTAATTTCTTGCAACTTTGTCTTCAATCTGCTTGCTGACGGCTGCTGCGAGATGTCCAAAAACCTAGGGCACCTCAAATAAAACTATCGACTTTGAACTTGGGATCGAATAGGACTGAGAACGAGATAGTCCTTGACGAATGCTTTAAGACTAGACACTCAAGCGACCGAACAGCGGATCAGTGAGGTAAAATTCCTTTATCACGATTATATGTACAGAAAATAAGCGTATAGTTAGATGACGTATAAAGTGCTTGACCTGTTGACAGAAGAATGAAAACATTTTCTGAAGAACCATTACCACAAACTGTGGTACTGCAGCTGTTCACTCACGTACACTGCATACTGATACCAGTGCTGTTCTGCATACTTGTTCAAGCGTGTGACTTGGTAGAGAGGCGTCGGATCTGAGAAACCTTTAGGCCGATTTCCGGAGTGGCCCTCAGGTAGTCATTCCGCTCTCCTTATTTCTGTCAGCTCCGTCCACATCAGCTTTTTTTATGTCACACAGAACGGATACGACAGTTTGTTTTCTGCCAATCCCAGTCAAGTTTTAGTCAAAGCATCTGCCAGATGAATTGTTTACTGGCACTCCACTTGTTCCGATGGCGTCAGTCCCGTTTCAGTTTCATCAATCATCCCTCAAATGCAATCTAATCAGTCACTCAGTTAGGTCACGCTAAAGGAAGAAAGGTGGTTTCTCCATAGGTAACGGGAGCAGAGCTTTTGTGGCCGATGGCCAAAGACATTACTGTAAACCGAACGTGGACCTAAAGCGGCCGCGTAAAGGACGGATTGGGATCAACTATTGCTGAGATACGGGAGCTAAAGGGAATTTAGCAAAACAGGGTGGCCAAGTGCATACAGCATGCTTCGTTGGTGTTCTGCACTTTCAGGACTACCAGTTCTCCAAAGTGGAGAAGAGTATAGTCGGATGTTGAAGGTCGTACTTTCAACACTGTGCACGAACCAAGATTTTGAATACATCGTGGGTATTTCAAAAACTAAAGAAAATCACGTGATCTTTTTTAGTGTAAAAAATTGTTTGCATTCACTAAAGACGTCTTCTTTGGTGCAGACTTTTGGCTGCCTATGCTTCCGTTTCTACGACGAGACTGTCGGGGAGCTTGGATTCGCTATAACACCACCCTCACCGTTATTTTTCAGAAAAATCAGGAATGATATTTCACTGGTATCAAATTGCAATTTGGCTATTTTTTCTGACCTGCGAGCCAGTCGGGACTTGAAAACCTGACATTCTCAGTGACACCATTTCTTAAAATGAATAAGTATTGGATTCGATGGCGTAAGCCCTTATCTGTTTTTCTGTACATTTATCCCTCCATCTGCCTGTTTGTGACAGGAGATCCTCGTGGAAGCTGGTCACGTTAATGGCCCACCTGGATACGGTTACATATACAGGACACTGAAACGGCATGTCATCACGCTAGTGGCTGTTGTTCCTCTCACGGTCATTTGACCAGTCCGTTTACTTTGTTAGATGATGTTGGTCGTACACATGGTCCGCGTCACCTGGGCATTGCAGCTGCACGTGACTCTCACCGTTCTTGTTTCTTATCTTCGGACACATCGATATGGATCATTTATGTCCAAGAAGAAAGCACATTTCAACTATAAGGATGTTTTAGGCGCCGTTTTATGTGCAGGATTGTACGCACTGGTTGTTTAACCTGTAATGACCATACACTGTCATAAAAAAAGGCCTACAGAGACTTTGGTGTTTGAATAACCTGACTTACTGCAAAACGTTGATGGTGAGCACAGGCGACTGACTACTCCTGAACCAAACACCTCTCAGACCATTCGTTGATCACGTCCAAAGTTATAATCATGCATACGCGTGACCCCACCGAACTAGAACATATCCTTGTGGTATTCTATATGTAGTACAAATGTGGCGGTCTCTTTAACCTAGTCATGGATACATAAAATGAATTTTACCTGTGACAGGTTGTCAGGATCTAACTTAAATTCGTGTATTTCTGGTCATGCACAGATCACGAAAAAATCAGCCGGAATGTCCAATTTCACGTCGTTACTTCGTACTGATCACTGATCTCAATTAATGACGTTTGTCTCACGTAACACTCCCACTCTAGGTTTACCCTAGTTGGTAACTGAACCTTAGTTTCACATGGACGACGGGCTGACGCAATTGTAAAATCCCTGTCCTTTGGGTGGCGCCCATGAGGAAGTATTTGTTCACCCGCATTCGGTCACCGTCACTTCATTTGAACGATGTCACTTGGCCCAGAATTAACGAATTTTGTGTTTTTTATTTCCTTGCTATTCCTTCAGGTCAACGAATATTTTGTTGTCACTGTCCAAACGAACTACCCAACAGATACCATTCACTATGTGGTACGTTTCGCTCACTTTTGTGTATTATTATCGGACATCAATTTCTTCGCTTCACTGAGCATTTTATGACATAGTATTATGTAGGGAATATAATTAGAAGTTGTTCTGATAGCACATCTCTTTTCGAAGACGTTCGAATGACCAATACGTTTATGAAGGGGCTACAGTTAAAACATCCGATTAAGTGAGGAATATTTTGCCTTTTCATACAGACAGTGACTAATTTGGATAACGGACCGGTCATATCCCTTAAATGGTTTCTTAAGTGGTTTCCATTGGAACCGATTTTACCCCCTACCAAGACCACCTCCAGACAAAGATCGTCTGACTATATGCTACCAGCCATTCGTGTAAAAAAACCGTAATTGGTCACTTACGCTAGTTGTACAGCGTAACTTATTTCGCTGCTTCATACGTAGCAGCTACTTTTCCCATGGTTCTATATCTCCGCATCACTGACTATTTTACACTGTGAATGGTTACATTTTTCGATTTGAAATTGGTTCATTTGTAGTCCTTTTTCAGTGGCTGTTAATCAGTTGTGTCAACTTCAAACAGATAATGAATCATAGTGCAATCCTCGCCGTCTTCTACAACCTGCCCGATTTAGCGGCCAGTTCTTAGAAAGCAGTCCATATTATTTCTATGTTGGTCTCTATGGCCCAGCATACATCCACGCGCTTAACTTCGACATCAGCATGCGACGTTTTGATAGGATCATGATATTGTTTGTCTAGTGAAGGTACCGAAAGTACTTGAATGTGGTTAGAGGGTACTGCAGCGGAATAGTGTGGTGGGTTGTGTAGTGAAGCTGATAACAGTATGGAGGATGTAGTGTTAAAATAAGTGACGATCTGGCAAACGAAGTTTATGTACCCGGCCAATAGGCTTGTTTAGCCACAGGTAGGCCTACTCGGTCCGTCTCCTATAACTATTCCAATTCCCCGGACATCGAGGACACACGATCCCCACTTCCATCAATTACTTCGGTTATGTTTACTGTTGAAGTGGACCGTTGAAGCTAACTGAGGACGAAACAGTAGCATGTTAACGTTTACGTTTTATGTCCCATGAATCTTTTACCTGTCCGTTACCCTGGTCCAGTACCACACCTCGGTCTTTTCGCAGTTTGTTTTTCATAAACGCATTTAGAACCCTAACCGAGGTATCACTGCACCATGCTTACCCAAAACAGATTGTCTCAAACGGAAATATCCTTGTCGCTGATCAACTTCGCCTGCCCAACGCAATCACCTCACGTACTTTCTCAGTTGCTGTTTCACGTTCCATGTTCCCGTTCGCCCACCTGATCGCCTACTTCATCAAAGATAGTAGTGAGATTGTTTCCGATGCGCTCACATTCTACACCAACTACACCAATTTGAACAACGTACACTTGGAAGTTAACCGCGGTAAAGATTTGAATCAAGACACGGTGGAAGTTCGAGGTCATGCAACCCCTGGATCATACTTGGCTGTGAATGTTATTCACTCAGATTTGTATAAGTTCGCCGCTGCATCGATTTTGAGAGAACACAACGTAAGTCCCCAGTGCCAGAAAGTAACCGATTTGGCCGGTAAAATCGTCATTCAAGCCGTCATAACTGCACACCTCATTACCGGTCTACTTAAAAATGTATTATGAAAAAGCTGCATGGATGTTTTATTTGCAAACTAATTTCGTCTTAACAGGAGACTCAACTGAGTCTCAGATGAATATCTCGTTAGTGATGTTATTCAACTGAATATGCTGCATAAAGACCCTTTTGTTTTTCAGTTGTGACGATAAACGAGATATAGTAATGCAATGTCTAGATGGAACATACTACTCATAGGGTGCGTCACTCCTCTTCAGGATCTCATGCTAATCACTTTTGAGAACTCGGCGAGAGATTTTTACTTTGAATAATCCTCATTATGACCCGTTCTGATTATTGCCCGATACCGGAATCCAGCTGTATATCTGCGAATAATTTTTGGAGTAAGGTTTTTCCTCTTTAACTGAGATTCTGAGTACACATCGTACCACCACAGCTTTCTGGAGAGGAATCTGTTTACGGTGTTTGCACTGCAGTTTAACCGATATACTGTACTAGTGAACTGCTACTTTGTTTTCGAGAAATATACTCATTTGTAAACGAATTAGGTTCTCAAGAGAGACTCAATTTGATTTGCAAATGAGTGTATTTCTCGAAAAAAAGGTCCAATTTGGATTCAAATAGAACATAGGGTTGACGGAAACTCGGGGACTGCGCGAAACCGGTCGGTGGGCTGTCAAGAGTTTTCAGCAAACCTGGGAGTAGTTTCCTTTATGAAGATGCAACTTTGTTTCTTATAACGTGAGCGAACAAGCATGTTGGCCAACGAGACTTGTAATCGTTTGAAGAAATTTTGCACTAGAAATATCACTTGAGTTATCGGATCGCTGATCCCGTTTTCTGCTTACACTTTTAGCAGACTGTGAAAACATGAGTCTGATGCGATTCCCACAGATATGCCTGGCGCTTGCGCGCCTTCATTTGTGAACAACAGTCCATCGGTAGGCATGTAAGCACGTAACGTAAAGTGTACAACTGTTTTCCAACTAATTCAATCTCTCTTCCGTATTTAGATTGTGGATGAACTAGCTGCCTACAACGGCCAGAGTCAGCGGCCATTCGTACACACCTGGTACGATAACATGATGGATATTCAACGAGTTTATGTTCCTGCGCCTAGTATTGGCGCTGACGCCAACACTACGATGAACGTTTCTGGTCTCATTCTGTTCACCGACGCCAATTTCACCAAGGCGAACTTCTACCGTGAGTCGTTGATAGTTTTCCTATATCTATTCATTAACCAATGGACGTAAACCGTTTTGTCCCTTGGTTATTGGCAAACCGTCTCACCCTTTTTAGACACGTGTAACGAGACGCTGGATCCTGCTCGAGCCTTACCCTGTTTCTCTATGACCGGTCGTGACTGTTATTCTCGTGCGGAACAGTGCAACGGAATTGCCGAATGTGTCACCTGGGTTGATGAAATGAACTGTCCAATCAATGAATCAGATCTACCACAGCCATCGCGAACTATTGACTCGTACAACCTTTTGTACCGCTTGTGGAACGACGGTGCCTGGATGTGGCACAGCACGTTTGTCAAGTACGTCTGAGGCTGAGTAATATAGCAGTTAAAATGTTCTGTTGGGGTTAGTGTGACTAAGTTACCATATAAGGTTTTACTAGAACGGATGCAGTTATTTATCGCGGGACAATTTGTGAGTTCCCACACGTTTTCTGACTGACTTATGGTGAGACCAGTTTATAATTCTGTCTCCACGGCGCACATTTCGTTGTCATTTTATTGAATACCTGATGAATCAAACCAAGCCGGACTCGTAAAATGTTGAAACTAGACGACAGGTTGTCCAAAACCAAGTAGGGAGTACTTCTAATGGGAATATCCATCTGATACATAAACGCATGTTTAATGACAGTAAACGGCTTTTGGCGAATTTAATTGGGACCGAATCCAATGCTAGCAGTACCAAGCAGCGCAATCTGGTTTTCCGAGTGTGCAGGTCAGTAAATTTCCGCGTTTAGACCTCTCCGTGCACTAACTGATGATTCTAGGCTGTTAGTCTTCCACCACAGACAGGTTAGTCAACATCTCCCAGGTCACTTTGTTGTGTAGTGCAGCAAATTTTTAATATATTGCACCCCTTTAGCTGTCCGCAAATTAGAATATCTCTTCCACAGATGTACTCAGTTGTACATCAGTTTGATTTTAAAAGCTGATTCTGCTGAATCTTTTACTTATGATTATCTTTAGATTTGATTCAGCTGATTCTGTCTTTAAAACCAAATCGATATGCAAACGATTTTACTTGTCGAATACGATATGAGTTCCATCAGAACACAAGTTTGACGAGAACTTGGGGACCGCGTCCACCTAATGAGACCCAAGAATGGCTTATTCGGTCGTGTGCTGTCGAATGCGTCGTAGCTGCTGCTACCTTAGAACGGTCCTCATTCTCGGGCGGGTCATCCGATGATATCAATGGAACGCAATCACTATTGACAGACTCTCCCTTGGAAGGATCATAATCTCCACTTCACGGTAATCAGTGCAGGTTTTTCTCAGCTAGACCAAAATTTCGCGTTTCCCATAACAACACGCCAGGTTTAGTTGGCATTGTTCATTGAGACTCAAAATGTCACAGTACAAAAAGTGGGTTGTGGTTGTCGGATCGACAGCGAATGATCCGGAATTAGAGTTGAATGCTTATATTGTTTATTGTATAACCTGGTTTAGACCGGACGGACAAATTCAGTTCCGTGTCAATCTTCCCAAGTTGAACGCGGACTGGATAGCTGGTGCGTTTGCTGTGGACGAACAGTTGGGAATGTCCTTAATGCAACAGCCGTACTATTTCGCCGGTATACGTCGATTCTATATGACAGTTGAAGTGGTCGAGGAGGCTGTGTGGGGTGAGCAGCTGGGTGTTCGATTGTGTCTATTCAACAATTGGGACTACTGGATTGAAGTGAGTTACCACTGATTTTCACGTAGTGGGCAAACACCCAATACGACTCGTCAGAGTTTTATTCATTTTGCACTTTCCGATCTACTTACAGGCTTTGGTAGAACTGAAGGCCAGTCCTGATATACGGGTTATTCAAATAGGCTTTGGTGGTCGAACATCAGCCTACAGCCCCAGGACTTCCGTGAACGAAAGTGTACAAACCCTGGTCTTTCTGGAAGCAGGCAGTTCGAAGTATATATACATGCCAGTTCTACCGAAAGAACCCGGAAATAGTTCTTTCACAATATGCGCGTACAGTTTCATCGGATCGAATTGCGAAACACATGAAATCCGCGTGACGGTAAGTTGACCATTCTAGGCACGCTTGAAGTTAGACTACGGGGTCTGAGTAACTTTTTAGCCTCGGTCATACCATCACCACGTAGTTCCAACCTCCACTCATCTGGCTGCGAATATTGCAGAGGGTAGTTTGGCAAACTCCTAAATCTACCAATGAAGGAAGACGATCATACGAAGAAAAAGGAAAACGCTATTGGGTGCGTTGTAACCGGACACGCATCTCCACATATCAGAGCGCTCAACTATATTTTTCAAGAATGTTTTGATTTTGGAAGGGAAACAGTCAGGTTTGGATCACATTCGCCACAAATGTTTCTAGTCAACATGAAAATTCCGCAACTGACCAAGACCGATCACTGCAAACTGTGGTGGCTGATGAACAGCTATTCTTAACTCTAGGAGTACCGAAAAGTGCACCATCTTATTTTAACCAACATAATTTTTATTGCAATTTAAATAACTCCTGGAATAAATATGATAGAATGATTGGATAAATTACATTTGGTAGATTATAGTGTCTGATTGCTGCCTTAACAAAGCGAGTACACAGAACCACTCTCAAGACATTCGTTTGCCACATCTCTAACGGCAGAATCATCTGTCCTAGTGAAGTGCTACAGAATGGTGGTGCCAAATCTTATTAGCTCATAACACCGACACACGAATATTGCAGTGATTTGCGAACCATTTCTGTGCACCGAACGCGAACAAAGTGCATCGTATTCACTGTGTCTAAGGCTATGGACTTCCCGGACAATCAAATTTCTGTTAGGATGGCATGCATCTCCGAAGCACAGAAGCAGGAATTTCGAAGTGGAATTTTTTTCAAATACCGTCACAGTTTCTAGGAAGTAGTAGCATATTCGGTCATACGATGTTGCTTTCATTTGTGATATCCTTATTCTGCGGCAAAATGTACCGAACGCCGGCTCTAACTTATTAAGGTCTAGGCGCAAATTGTATGGAATGTAATTCTTCCAGAATTTACTAAAGGATTCAATACGCTACTTTGGAACACGTAGGGAATGTCTACACTATTCTGGCATTCATTGAAAACAAAATTAAACGGGATTTGTGTGACTTCGACGAATGCTTGAAGTTTACTGTTGTCACAGTCATAATTGTCGGTTGTTCGAGATTCGTAACACCCATAGAACAAGCCAGCTCACCACTTTATGAACTCTAAAGTGGATTCGCATGAGTTTCAAATGAAACCACTGTATACGGTTTGCGTAGACTTCAGTATACTTGGTAATCTAGTTTTTTCGCGACACTGCATCATCGCTGTATTGTCCAGAAACGTAGTCTTTTATGTGATTATGTATCATACAGTGTGTGAAGCATTAACCTAGCTACACTGGTTTCTGACTACGTAATTTTTAGAAAATTACGTAGTCGTTGATACTCCTAAGTTTGTTCAGTACTCCTATCTCATAATTCAACGGATTTGCGCACTCTACTCAGGGGAAGAACATTTATGACCTAAGGACCGGTAGGAAGTTGATTACATTAAGAGAAAAAGGCGAGCATTTTCTCGGAACCTCTGCTTTGGGGAAGAAACTGCAACGATTGCTTCTTCGCTACCTTCTGTTTGTTCCCTCAGCCAGCGAATATTTTCCAGATGGATCGGAAATTCTTTACAAATTCGGTTCGAATTATCATGTTGATGAGGATGGTTAAGACAACTAGTTTCTATTGACCACACGATAATTTCTGCAGATTTGTCCTATCATCTGTCAAAATAAGAAGAACTCCACTGCATTCGGTGCTTGGAAGCATGTATTGAGAGTGAAGCGGATTTTTTATTCGTTTTTGGAATGCTAGCAGTTTGGGATGTATATATTGCCACTGGTTTGTTCGCTAAGCTGGAGGATTTAATTGCAAAGGTTCCAACTTTTGCTGAGGTGACATCAATAGTACATCGTTATGTAATATGAGACTGGCCTCTTTATAATTTGACCGGATAATGCTCTTAGTTGGCTCGTGAGTCTGTGTATGGAGAGCTTTCCGAAAGCTTTCCTACAAGCAGTGGTGTCCGGAAAGTTTAACCACTCTCGCCACTTTTGTTTAACTTCGTTAGTAATGAGATGATGATATGAACACTGGAAGGTCTGCAAAATCCTTGTTCATATCCTTCCGTGCCAGAACTTTGTCGATCTGGAATATGCAGCGCAAGCATTACTTTAAAAGCTGACCAAAGTCATCCAATCCTTTGGCGTGTGCTTCACGCGCACAAGATGCATAGTCATGCTGCAGGGTGTAGTCGTTGAAAATGCCTGAGAATTCATGAGGTAGCACTGGAGCCCTAAACGTATCTCAGACAACAGAGTGACAGACAAAATAAACGCACGAGTTTTGAAGGCCAAAATCACATTCGCCAATTTGTGTCGCTCGTGGCATCAGGAAGACATTCCACCGAGTCTCAAATAACGCTTGTATCAGACTACACTAGGGGCTGTAATGTCTTGCGGCCGCAAGACTTGGTCACTTCTGGCGGACGATGTGAGACATCTTCACGCCTGTGACCACCGATGTCCCGGAACCATAGCTGAAATCGGATGGAAGCGGCGAGTTCTCAACGAGGTGATATGAAGGCAGATTTCTGGTAAAGTAAACAGTACTTCCCTTAGAGAATGCATCCAACACTGCAAGCTAAGTTGAATGTTACGCATACCAAGTTACTGCCTGTGGAGACGTGCGCTGTTTTGCTTGCCTGGTCCTCATGATGTCGACAGAATTTGATATGGCATAAGCCAATAAAGGATGTTTTGAAAAGTTTGTGTGCCGTTGGTGCTGTTCGCCTTCAAGGGTGGGATCCTTCTGACCCATTTTGTGACTGCCTAGAAACACTGAAGTGTATGGCGGCCAACCGATGTCAGTGGCATTTACACTGTCAGTTTCTATCCAGCTTGTTTCACTGAGTGCTGGCGATGTAGATCCCCGGACATTTGTTCCAGACTAGCCCTAAGTCTTCATCCCTTCTCCACCATTCCTTTTCCGATTATGGGGGTTTATTCAAATAGATTAACATAGTTGTACGACAGTAATGCCCCATTGTTCTCATCTGGTGTTGTTAGTAATGTTGATAATGAGCTTGTATTCTGATTGGCCCACGTCGACGTAAAGCTCGAGAATGACCAGCGTACGCCAAGGTGGGTACTTGACCAATGAATGGGAGCCAAACAAGCTGACTTATCAGAGCACTAACTCAACTTTCAACCCAATAGGGTCAATCAGCCAACCAACTAGTCATGAGTGAACGTCGGTCTCAAGTATATGGGCACAACGCACCACCGCTCAAACAGGCTGAACGATGCATGGTAACTCGGCACCACCCAGTGACGAGCTGACAATGGCAACTCGAGTGGTGATGAAACAGTTGTAATTCACTCACCGTGAATAAACCCAACATAATTTTCATGCCCACATCATACTTGAAAAATATCATGTGTTATATTACCATACATTACAATAACCTGTCATGTGTGAGTGGCTTTCCTATTCAATTCTGGACAATATGGTGCTTGTTTCGAATAGCTATGTTCATTATGGATGTTGCTGGGCGTTCTCGGTTTTGACTGCATCAGCTCTGCAACCCCGTTGTTCACTAGTGTTACCCCAACATTTCACTTTCTTCTCTGTATACCTTTAATACTCATAATATCTAGGAGTTGGCCACTTCTGTGTGCCGGAGCGTCGGGCGGTATCCCGTCGTACCCGTAATGCGTTCTTTATATGAAGAACTTGAAATAATATGCAGCCGCAAACATTGACATTTTACTACCAAACTGATACGAAAACTACGACAGAGTCCCCTTACAAATGTTTTTTTATTGTATCCATGATGTTATCATTCATACAGTAATTGTATAGACTAAGTCTAGTGTATTCTAGGCTCACCTATCTGGTCGCGACAAAACAGCTGATCACGTGAGATAGAGAACGTCCGCTCACTGCGATGCGGCTGGTTGGTTTTGTTTTCAACACATGGTCGTTAGATTTATCCAAATAACCAAGTGTAACCCGGCGGTACAGTTGTGAGCCTTCTGTGAGCCTCATTCAGTCTTCCTCTCCCACCGATGTTCTTTTCAAGTTTCAACCACCTGCAGATTACTTGACTTGCCTACCGTTGCCATTTCAGATGAACGGTGTACCGAATCACTATCATACGGCAACATTTTTGGACCTGACCAGTTCCAGCGCCTTGTTCGTGAACAACTTCAAAATCATTGTTCCACAAAAGTACACAATACCTGAAAGGCGAATGCATCGATTTGTGCCCGGATCACAGTTTGCAAGCCTAAGTGTTGTTGGTAGGTTTTGTCGACGTTGCATCGCCCCCGCATATTGGATGCACTAGGACAGTGCTTGTCGTAGAGCGCTGTTTATTTTGCCGATCATTTTATTTCGTCGAATGCTGCGAATAAAATGAATTGCTTTGTAATGTTTTTATCTCCTGTTATGTAAATGAACCTAGTTTAACCTAACGTTTTGTGCACAGTTCTTTTAATTCTGTAAGTATCAACCACGGGAAACCTACATGTTAACCTGGTGAGCTAGAATTTTCAGAAACCATGTTTAACTGTGCCCGCCATCTTCAGCCAGTACTTCTATTTTCGTCTAAGTTTCTTGGACATTCAAGTCGTCGATGAAAGGGGTTACTTGGTTTGGGTGTAATAAAACCCGTTATTAGATATAACATGAGGTATTAACTCAAAAATGGTCGTTTCTTCTTTGCTATAAGCCACTCAAACTAATACGAACTCTGTCGCTTGAAGAAAAACCTCACTTCCAAAACCGTTACTCCAGGTGAATGGTCCAGTTTTTAGACTATCACATCATGATCTTGATCTTGTCTTTTAAAGACGAAGTTTGAACCATCTGGCTTACTCATCATGAAACACTGCTGTGCATTTTCATAAAGGGAACTACTCACAAGGTTGCTGAAAACTCTTCGACAGCCCACGACCGGTTTCGCTCTTCTTGGGGCTCATCAGGTAGGCGCAGTCCTCGAGTTTCCGTCAACCTTATGATTTTACTTGAACCAATATTACACTGTTTTCGAGAAATACACTAATTTGCAACCGGTCGTGGGCTCTGGAATAGTTTTCAGCAACCTTGTGAGTAGTTCCCTTTGTGAAAATATACTGCGATATCTCGAATATCGTGCCAACAGAATCATGAGGAGGCCTGTGTGCAGCACCTTCAGCTGGAGGACACCATAAACGAGAGATTCAATTGAGTCTCCCGTGAAAACCAAATTGATCTGCTGTGCGTTGTTCTAAAAAATTAACGACACTTGCTTGTTTACTGTAATAATCGCTGCCTTGTAATAGAACCCTTGGGCCGGAGGATTTTGACGAATAGCGCGTGCATTGAAGTTTGGCTGCCATGGCATTCCTCATTCTGGCACGTCCTAAGCGGACGGAGGCAAGTATGCCAATGCTTCTCAGCTCCATCTTGCGCATGTTTGTTGGCCACGAGGTCGCCGAGTTCCGTGTGGGATTCACCCCGGTGCTGATGACCGCGAAGTGTGCGATGACAAATTGGGTAAAGTGCTAAGCTTTCATCAGTTGAATTTCATCCATTATTTTGTACAGGACAAATGTGCATTTTCCAGCTATTTTCGCCCAACGAATTACGCTTCATCTTTTTTGGAGAGAAGCTTCTTTACCTGATAATGGATTGGAAGCTCACCAGACTAACTGATGCACGGCACAACGTTAGCTTACTACGAAAGAACGTCTGTAGTGGAGTGCGAATCCAGTTTAAACTAACTAAGTGTGCCATTTACTCACACGCAGCCTAATTGTTTTTAGTCCAAAAATCACTTTCCTAAATGCCGTATTGGGTGCCACGTCCCACCACTCTTTTTCGTTAACATCATTTTTTCAAAGGTGACTGCATCGGTCCGGCCTTGCACTCCAATTTTCCATTCGCAACCACACAAAATGTGCTACGAATGGGGTATGGGAGCGCAGAGAGCGTGTTTTTCGAACTGGGCTACAATCTGAATTTACTGCTCTATCTGTACGGCTCACCTGGTCTTTCACAAGATGTTGAACGGGAAGGCCTACTCTATTGTTCCGTGGTTTTACAACGGGGTTTCTCTTTCTTCAATCCCGCGTTGGGTGCATTCGCGAACTTCCGTGACGAACTGGACCGGTAAGTATGTAGATGAATATATCGTGTACCGCGGAATTGAAGTTTTGATACTCCAAGAAAATTCACACACTGCAGCCGTTCGGCATCACTACCTCAGAAGTTATTTTCTGAAGGTAAGACAGAATTCCATCGACGTTAGAGGGAATGGAGGGCGGTTACTCACATGTTCAGGGGAACTGTGTGACGTAATCAACAATGATGTGAGGAAACCAGAACCCATAAAAAATCAGTGGCATTAAGATGGGGAAATATTTCCACCCGTCTAACGACCACACATTAGAACGTGGAACTCCGCACACAGTATGGGGCAAGACTTCATGACCTTGACAGTTTTCTTTACTATTACAACCCTCACGTTAGAGGCGAACAAAAAATGGATCACGGCCTAGCTTCAATCCAATATCGAAACAGTGAGTTACGTCCACATGCAATCCCCGAAAACCACAGTAAAGTAAACAACAGAGCCAAACGTGGAACATTGTTGCTGACTTCAGTTGACATGCCTAACTTTCGAGCCTTCCCATTGACCTCTTCTAGCCAGAACTATTTGTATTCCATCCAATCCCATTCCTATTATTCAATAATGAGGATTGACTGCCGAATACACACTGAACGGTTTCCGAAACCTGAAGTCATACGGAAAATTTACTTCCACTAATTCAAGCTTTTCACTCGGTACCCATGTGGTACACAAACTATTACAAGAGTAATGAATTAGTTTGGGCCAGTCTTTTCTTGATTTAGCATTTACAGCTTGATAAGCAAAAAGGCTGTGGGCTCTATCGACTCCAAACAGTCTGTCCGTAGCTGGCTTCTCAGTTATAGGGGACGTCCACGCATTTTTAATGTGAATCCTTGCCTTTGTTCGCTGTCAAGCCAGGTGCTAATATTCTGGTGGTGCTGCAATTTAGCTGGCATCTGGAGCTGCAAACGAGAGTTGTGGACTACTTACAGCAGCAACCAATTAGCAGCCCAACTTGAGATGCACAAAGGCATGTCTTTCCGTGTAATCTATGAGTACGAGTTAATCACACTGCTGATCAGCCGCTCGTGGCCAAGTGGTCAAATGTTCAAACTACCGGGTGGGTGGTTGTGAAATTACGTTGGTGATCCCCAATAAGGATGAAACAGATGTACGGTGCTTCACCGTCCTTCAGCCTAGATCCGCTTAACTTACAGGACCAAATCTCAGTTGAAAATTTCCAACTTTCGTTACAGTGTCGATAGTCTGTAAACAGTCGAATTTCCGGTAAAATTAAACTTAACTAGACACGCCTTGTTTTGAACCGTTCACAAAACAAAGATAAGCCAATGCGCCACGTTGGTCTGGGGCTTTCTGTTTTGTGTGACAAATGGAGCCAAAGATATCGAAGTTCTGAGTTTATACTTGACAACTTACTAACGCTTTGGCTTCCTTTCTCACCTAAATAAAACCATCCTGTTGACAAAATCACTCATTTACGAATTACTTTGGTACTAACGAGAAACTCAACCGAATCTCTCGTTTATGATATTTCTCAACTGAATGTTCTACTCCAAAGTCGCTTTATGTTTCAGTTGACTCGATAGTCAAACTTTCGCGTTGTATCTGCATGCGCTTCAATGTCTGTGACAGAGCGGGGTTGTGAATCATATTTTTATGGGACGGAACACATTCCTATTCGAGCTTCTAAGTGCAATCAGTCCCCTTTGAAGCTGACACAGAGTTAGTTATCCTGAGGATTTGTATTCAACAACGGCTTTGCTGTGATGCGGACGACAATGAGACTCCTTGCATAAGGCTCTTATTATGAGTCATTGAAGAGTGTGACAGTACACATTTGTAGCGCCGGATACATTGATTTTTTGAGGTGTTATTTTACCCGAACGTTTGTTTGGAAATGACTTTCGCTATAAAATCTCCAACCATTGAGTTTAGCGAATAGGAAGTTAATGTATGACACTTTCATTGAAAAAAGTTTAACCGGTATTTACTCCATAGGTATTCAGACAGATCTACGTCTCCACAGTATGTGTTAAATCATAAGATTCAGCAACAGTCTCGAACATTACCTAACTTCTACCTGTACACCTATTTTTAAGTGCGGGCGTACATCACATTATTTGTTGGCGACTGGGTTGTCGCGTGACCAATTCATACAAAATGGACCACAAACTTTCATCGTCCTTTTTATTTTCTTCCTGTTATTGATAATGAGACGTTGAACTCAATCTCGTGAAACCCTACTGGATTGAGCTCAACATTCCTGATACGCGGTCCTCATTGGGAATCACCATCACTGTTCACTTCTAGATATCTGTCCAACAGATCTGTTTCTGGGCGGAGTGGCTGACCAGCAGTGTATTCAACTTGTCCAATTTCTGAATTGGTTGTAACGTCATACGGACGTTTACCTGGAGGTGGCCACCCAATACTCTCCTGAGGGTTATGAGTTTGTCTGTGTGATGAAGTACTTAGATAACCGGATGGTGACATACGGAACTGATCAACTTTTTCGGATCTGTTCCGAAATATGCGTCCATAAACTATGAATATTCAAGCCTTGTGTATCGCCGGAACTTTGCGAAACTTTCAACTACAACGAATGCTATTCTAATCAGAGTATCGATCAAATAAGGTCGATATTACCTGTGGACAATTGAGGCGCCTGTGGAGTACAGTGCATTTTTGCTGCTTACTTATTAGTCAGCGCGTTCTTTAACATTCAGAGGGAATCCGAAAGCTGGTTTGTCCCCGAAAGAATGTGCGGCATTCAGTTAACCAGTACTTTAGTACAGTGTGGTGATAATGTGCCGCATTCCGACAAGGTGTGTCGTGCAACCGGTGGATATGTTTACCGGCCGCACAATCAGACAAATGCGCATACAAACCGTTCAGTATTGTTTGTGGCGATTGGGTGTTGGGACCTGGTGGGCAAGCGCAGCACACGTAACATTTGCTTCCCTGATCGATAGGGCTATCGCTCGAACGAAGTGCAATCGATTATTTGGGATGTTAGGTACACTACGGTTAATAGCGTACCATGATAGACTACGTGGAAGATGAGATGACTGTCAGATTGGGATTGAATTTAGGTTGTATCAGGTATACGTGCTTGGTATAGTTGGCGACAAACCATACCTTGTTTACGAAAACGGCAAGCGTAGCTTGGACCAGTATGAAGATCACCTGAACGAAGGCGAACATAGATTTACTCGTGACGCTGACATTTCGTATGCATGCAACCTAGGACAAGTGAAGGAGGTTACAGACTACGCAAAATGCACTTGGCTTCACACCAATTTTGGGACTGTACCTGCCTAGCTAGCCTCAAAAAGAGCAAAAGTCCCCGTGGGCTTTCGGAAAGTTTTCAAAATCCCTTTAAGTAAGGTTTCTTCAATGTTACCGAATAGCTCCCATCTCTAAAAACCGATTTCGACTGTCTCTTCGTTAGGGTACGGTCAGGATTTCGAATGCCGATCTGTGACCACTTGGTATGGGTCCAGTGCCCTGTGGTGCTATAATAAGGATAGGAAATCATACTCCGCATCGGTGCTCGTTGCCTGTCACTTTTTCTTTGTTGGTCTCATCACTTACGGACTCCAAGCCGTGACTTTTATTTGGTACGTGTCAGCGCAGAGGCATGTTTTCGAAAACGATTAGTGTTATCAGGTCCCCATCAGTTTTGGTCAATAAGATCTCTCTAATCGTTGCTTAGGCAGCAAGTCACTCATCAAGAGAGCAGAAGTATCCTGATGTTCAAGATCTTCCCTTCTCAAGAAATTGTCGGTTATCTGTTCAAAATCGGTCACAATTAACTTACTTTTCTTGGACACACTTGAAGTGATACAGTGCAAGCATATGAGAAGTGAACTCATCCATTTTGCTGTGAGTAAACAAAGACTATACTACTTCCAGGCGGTTACTACCCAGACTGCGTTAATTTTGCACATATATATATATATATATATATATATATATATATATATATATATATATATATATATATATATATATATATATATATATATATATATATATATATATATATATATATATATATATATATATATATATATATATATATATATATATATATATATATATATATATATATATATATATATATATATATATATATATATATATATATATATATATATATATATATATATATATATATATATATATATATATATATATATATATATATAATAGCACTGCTTATCCTAACCTCGTCAGCGAAAAGTAGCTCTTCACCTTTTCCGCCCCAGGCAATTGTGTTGCCGTGTCGGTTTGGAAGATGAAAGATGCATACCACAAAACAGCTACATCTTACTGTACTAACGATTGCCTCCCTGTAGGATACAGGTTAAATGGCCACCTTCTGTGTCTTCCTTGTACCAGAAATCAAACCGGAGACTTTCATTCCGACGCCGACCACCGTCAGCCAGAGGGAACGTGGTCGCCCAACTGAAAACAGGACAATGTTAGCCATCCATGTGAACACTGTTATGAGGACGGAAATATACCCTCTTGTGTGTCCACGGGTCATCTATTCATCCGATTCACATAAACGACACACAATGGGCCAAGTATACCACTGATAACTCCGTTGCTGGCCGTGAGGGATTTCTCATGTGACGCAACAAGTGACTACTGTGTTTTTCAGGCCATCAGACTGAATAATTATGAGGAACGGTTGCGACCTAAGCATTGTTCTGATAGCACTGGCTTGATCCATTGATTACGGTGCTTAGGGCCGCTGGATTCAATCGTTTAAACACGGCCCATCCAATAAAACTGCGGTTGAACTTCACCGTATCTGGTCCTAGTTGAGCGGAGTTTTCTTGAGCTGTTGCCAAGGCATGTGCATAAAAAAATTTGTTGGTACCAACCAGTATGTCAACGTCAAAGTTTCTGCTGATGCACTCAATGGTTTTGGAATATTTTGCTCCAAAATTCACTTCCGATAACCAGTTACACGTTGGTCACCTTAGTATACATGGCCCAATAAACGTGTAATATTTATGGCATTAAAATACATGTTTATGAGGTTCAGTTTATTTGATTGAGCAAAACGTCATCCGTGAAGATTTGCCAGTTTAGTGTCGCGCTATTAGCTTGTTACCACCACCGTTGCTGAGATAAATCAGTAGGCCTATCAACGTCTTCTGTAGGATTTCTGTGAGCTCAACTGACTTCGTTTTCGTCAGTTGCCGACAGTCATTCGCAGTCTACGGTTTCACTTCTACAGTTATATCATCCAGTTTTGTACCGGATTAACGTGGTAAATAAATTGAATTTAGTAATTTGGTGGGTTCATTAGCAAACAATACATGGTAAAGGAACGCGAGGTGAACTACTTATTCACTCTTTAAATTCAAACCGTCATTGTTCTCACTTAACAGCTGACAGATTTAATAAAAAACTGCTAGTGGTTAGCACAGCTCCCATACGAAGTTCATGTGCCATTCTTTTTGCTCGCATTTCTGTTGACCCTTGAGTTGTTTAGTTTATTTTAATCCACCGTTTTTGAGTGAAGCTCGCTCATGAAGGAAATTGAATGAAGTGAACTTTTTTGCTTCGCAATTGGTCTTCTGGCCCTAATATTCGATTTTGAATTTAGTTGTTTCTTCCTAGTTCAAGTTCGTTATCATAAAAGATTCAGCGGTCTGATTACATTCTGTTACGTTGTCAGCATTGTCTATTACTTCTTCTGTGGAAAGTTTATGTTGTTTCATCATCATGCCTCTCCACTATTCTGTGAGTTGCCTGTGATGCTGTCGTCGTGATAATTCAACTAGTATGTGTCTATCAAATCCCCATCGCCACTGACTTATATGAAAAGAACGATTGAGTTCTTAATCCACACACTCGTGTATCACTGGCTGACGACGGCTGGAAGGCAAATCTACAGTACTTAAAAATCGGTCGGTCGACTGAATTCATCGCTACTAATCGTTGAAGAACATATGAGGGACAAGCACACCACAATTCGTGAGGAAGTTTTGCGTTTCTAAGAGGGCTAAGCCTGTCCAAAAGATTCAAATAAAAACATCTGATTCAACCCTATTATTATCCCAGTTTTCTGGATCCTAAGTTTGATGATAATGTAAGGTCGAGTTTTTGAATTGCGTTCAACCAATTCTTCTTTCTTATGACAGTTTTCGACCAATCGTAATGAGGTTGTATGCGTAACAAGAATTACTGGACTACGTATGACGTTTTGGCGCTTGCGGCATGAAACCCTATTCTCCGAATTTTGCTTCTTAGCTTTGTTTTGAATCCACCAAACTCTTCCAGTCTGACTGCACTCTCTAAATGATTTCTATTCTCACTTTCAAGGCCGAGTCCGCTGGCGACAGCTTTTGCCCTCTGGAACTTGTTGTTGACCCGACAACCCCAATGGAACCGACTCATCTATGTGGATGATCCAACATTCATACGGATCATAGATTACCTTGCTAGTACGCAGCAAACCAGTTCGAGTATGGGTGGAACCAACAGTGTGGATGTTCGCCTTGCAGGGAGTTGGGAAGTTGGTGAAGTCATTGATCGCCGTTTCGCCCCAACAAGTAATGCGACAGATCCTATTGATCGTGAAGCACATCGTCGTATCCCCTGCGCTGCAATGGTAGTGATTGCGTTTCGCTCTACTGGTCGTCCTATGCCGAGTGGAATTGGCGCTGAACGTGCAGAGGTTGTCGTTGCCTCTGCCGTGCAGTTCATAGCTCGACATCTCCTACAAACTAACGATTTATTCTCGCTGATGATTGGAACATATGCACTGAGTGTTGCAACAGACTCAACGTCGCAGCAGAAAATCATGCTGTGAGTTATTGTCATTCAGTATACATGTTTGCCTGGCCAAAATGTAAGTCTTAACGGATGCTTGGTATGTAACGAACTCCGCGCATCTCAACGATACCCTTATGTTCACTTTGCGAATTAGAAGGGCGTTTTGCTCTCCATATTAATTTAGCCTTAATTCATTGTAGTCATATGGCACTAGGAAGCTTTTTGAGGATTATACAGATCAACGGATTGGAATAGTGATGCACGCGATGATCCGTTTAAGGTTTACCTCAGTGGTTCAATTCGCGTCTTCGATGGTTTGTTTTTTTCACTTCAGGCTAGCAATCATACAGTCATATCAATTTAGCTTTGAATGTGTTCCGTTTGTAGAGCCATGCAGATCATTGACCAGTATCGTCAGAAAGGTGAATACATCTATTTCGCGAACTATCCAATCCCACCTCCTAAATGGGAATTGGACCAAGCCGGAAGAAGAATTGAGAATCCCCGTTGGGAAATGCCAAACGATGGTTACGGAGTTGCATCCACTAGTTTCTATTTCCTTCTCAAAAGGAAGCTCGGAGAATGGAATGTCCACATGACGGAGGCAATGGATGTGGTACATTGGCTTGCAAGTCAACGCAACCATATTTCGGGTTTTTCCAGTACTTTCGTGAGTTGGCTGTTGTGCTTTCGCATATAGCTTCCAAAGTCTTTAAGACTTCTGCAAACCCACAATGTTGCAAAAGTAGACACCCCTTTCATTTGATAGTACACTACTCTTGAGATTGATGGAAAGGCTTTAGAGCTGTCACGAACCTTGTCAGTAGTATTCTACCAAGTAGGAATGCGGTAACTTCCCCAAATGAACTCCTTTCCAGAAAAAAACTACCAGACTACGACCCTTCGCTAATATCCTGAGGCATTTAGGTTACCCGTAACTGTCGACGAAGAACAAATATTTTTCCCCAAGACACGATTTGCCCTCCCAAACAATACTCAGGCCCGAAAGCTTCTTTCTATGTTTCCTATAGTTCGGCACTAAATGCAGCCTAAATAATTCCCCTCCAGAAATTTGGTGTGAAAGGATTGGCTAAGAGCGACCAGTCCTGGACTTCTCCCAATCGTTGATAAAGGCATTAAAGGACCAAACAACACAAATCATTTTTCAGGACCGACCTGTTTAGGGTGTAGCAACTGCACAATAAACGACGACGGCGGACCCAGACCAGACATAGCGTGGATATATGGAGTAGTTTACCTGGAGATAGCACACTGACATGTCACTATTCAGACAGGTTTTCCAAACGGAAAAAGACTGCTAAATCTCAGGGTTTCAAAGTAGCTCTTGTTAAGCTTTACAAATTGAACGTCTTGACCATACAGCCCTCCACTAAATGGAACATATATGAGAGGTATCACTATTTGTGATTAGTCTTGTGGAGACTGAGCGATTTTCCTTTCTTTTCCCTCTTATAATGCCTTTTGAAGTTCATTACTGCACAGACAGGACAGTATCTGCACTGGTAATTTGTTGGAATAAGGGTGGCTCGGGTGGTCAACATGGATTAAAGTCGGCACGTATGTCCGATTCTTTCATCTGTGTTGTGACTACGGGCTATTTTTATGCAGTACTACCTTCCGAAATAGCCGAAGTCGTCTTGCCATATGGAGTCCCCAAACGGCGTGCCGGCTACGAACTCAAGTTGATTAAATTGCCATCAGTTAGCGACTGCGCGGATCAGTTAATCACTTTCAGTTTTCTTCGAACATATTTGTGGATTGTGACCACGCACTCGTCTGGAGTCACTGCCTACTTCGTTCTCTAGGGCCACTTAGGGTGCGGAAAAGTGGTTTGGCAACTGATCCGGATGTCAGAGTCTCTACCGAATGCTTCACCATCAGATGTGAATCCATACTCGGACAAGGTTGTCTGTTATTTGCGCGGTGCCGTGGTGGGCCTGTGATGCGTCGCTCTCAGGCTCACTCAAGCACTGGATATCAGAGAGAACGGTGGCACCGCTTAAATCTCGGAGAAATATTCCAGCCTGTCCCGAAAATAACTCGACCTGGCGAATAACCAGGCGTCAAGTGAAAGTGAGCGTGCGGCTGACCATGAAGTCTGGTAGACACCGTAAGCCATGAAAATGGGAGAGGTCCAGAAAGCTGGTATTGTATGAAGATTAATTCAGGTGATCCCTGAGACCAGTACCCGGAAACAATCAAGGATAAGATTGGGGTGATCATTTAGAATATAGAAGAACGCCTCGACCCTCGGGCCAAATACTTCGGACATCAGCTATCGTGGCCACCAGCTGCTACTCATCTGATACCCGTCGTTGAGGTAGCACCCTGGATGGTGGACGCGGCAACCCACACGGCCTCGGTAGCTTACGACTGCGCCAGTGAGCTTCTGATCCGGATGACCTCCCAGTTTGTGAACATTATACGTTCTTTGTATTCTGACATTTTTGGGAGTGTGGGAGTATACAGAGACCTCTCCAAAAGCTTCCGTATGCAACGCATTGTTTGTCAGGGAGGCCGAATTTCTCCATTCCGATCTAACTTCGTGATCGATGAAATCATGGGACGAATGCTGGAAGGTCTCCAAAAAATAGATATTCGAATAGCCTGTGACGAAAACCTTACCGATCTGGAATATACATACGATATCGTTTTCCTTTTTGAAGAGGAGGAGAGGGCGCAAGTTTTTTACGAACTGACGGAAGCCATCCCATCGTTTGGTATACACTTTACACCTGCAAAGTATGAGGCCATGCTCCTGAACATTCAGTCACTGAACACGCCACTTACAACCCAGGAGCAGGCACTCTAGCGTTCTAAGTATCTCGTAAGTTGTATAACTTTTGATTGTATTGTACCAGACGAGGTCCATGCATGAATCTACAAGGCCTGTTTGCTAATTTGAGACACCTACGGTGTCAACGCCTTATATCCCTGAATCTTAAGGGACGTGTGTATCGGGCTACATTGCGGGCTGTTTTGTTGTATGGCTGTGAGACTTGGTCTATTCGAGCAGCAGAACTGAGACATCTTTATGTGTTCTACAGTCTTTGTCTCAGGATTACATCTTGTGTTGGTTGGTGTCGGCGAACCCACAAAGAGGCAATTAAAAAGAGTTTTCGGTTGTGAAACGGGGGCTTTCATTGAAGACCAATGTGTCCAGCACCAGAAGCGGTGATGGTTGGGCCATGTATTGCACATGCCGAATCATCGTTTGCTAAAGAGAGCGCTGTTTCCCGTGCTTCTGGTTTGAAACGCTGCAGGAATGATTGCCAATCGATGTCAATGGCGTTGTCGCTTCTGGTTTCCATCCAGATTGCCTGAATGAGTGTTTGGAGGTGTAAGCGCCTCGTTATGATTGTTCAACCTACTTCTTCTCTTTAAAATAAGACATTCAGAAAAATCATGGTTGTACGGCAGCGAAGTATCATTGCTGAGCACTGATGTCACGCTGTCCATGATGATAATCATGTATGCACTCGTGTATTTGGTCCGGTGGCTAATCTATTGTCCAAAGTTGGTTATTGACTTGCAGACGTTTCGTCACCTTTTGAGCAGGTCAACAGCCACCTTATCTACTTCACCAGATTTAGCTGTTTCCACATAAACATAGCTTCGAGCCCGATACAAGTACACTTAGGACAGACTTCGGATGGAAATTAGTAACTCTAGGACTATCCGCATCTAGGTGTTATCCTAAGCACTATCCGGGCGTCCAAATGGGAGTTTGTCAGCACTATGCATAGCCGTTCGATAGGTGCGATATCAGCCAGTCGATACAACGTAGTCAGAGCTGCGATTCTGGGGACGTAATGTGCCACTAGATCTGTCCCTCTTCACAAAGCTAACTCCATTGCAATTCCACGATTAAGTTACCACGGCGCGCGAAATTTTGTTTTTCCGGATAGATTGTTACCTAGTTGGATTGAACGGCATGATAACTTCGGCTGAGAATGGTGCGGACAAACACCGTTAAGAGTGCGAAGTCAGCTGCACCAGTCAGGATCACCGACACAAGAACAAAATCGAAGTCTCGGCCTCAACCTCCTTTATCGGCCTCGTTAGATACCAGCCTTGCGCCGATCTAGAGACGGCGTCTGCTATCATATTGAGCACACCATACCTCAGTCTGCTGAATTTTGCCGAGGTCATGTTTGGTATCTGAAGTTGGCTTTCGTTTCGCTGGCAATACCATGGTAACCTGCAGAACATGCCCTTCACATGGTAATCCTCCCCTTTTCTGATTTGTTTATCATAGATAATTTTAGAAGGCCTCAACTCATACAAAAAGATAGATGGCGAATAGTTACAAGAGGTCGCAAGACTCGTAGACCTCATACCCACATCAATGTCGTTTGTACAGTCGTCCTCCTGTCCACACCAAAGGCTTGGAAAGCGCTGGACTCGAGTTTTGCTCTTATTAGAGCTCATCAGCATCGCATATTTTGGACATGTCGGGGTTTGTATTCCGCATAGCAGACGTGCTAGGCGAGCGGGCTACCACTACTGCACCATTGATTAGACAATGATTTCAAAAGAACAGTTGTATGGACCCCTCTCAAACGTAGTTTTCATGACTGCGCAACATCAGCTAGTCCCGAAACTGCCCACGAGGAGCATGACGATGACGTCTACTGGTATGAAAGTGCTTCTTGGGGATAGTAACAGTCCTTTTCGAGGAAAAAAGAAGTCATGAAATAAGCTCACTAGCTTTATTGTTCATCATATCACTGTAAAAGTGTAGTGTATGTACTAGCATGGGTTTGAATGGTGGATTCACCAGCTTCTGCTACCATGTGGGCTCTTCTCCGTGTGCCATATTTGCTCTAGAGGACTAAGTCAAGAGGTGGTTTCCATACAGCACAGCTATTTGGAGAACATGATGACAATTTTCGAAACTACTCTTATGGATTCAATGGACGACTCTTCTTCATCAAGTTCGTTAAGTTGGCCCAAATCCCAAATATCTGACGGGCGATCCACCAGATACTTGTTTGTTCTATTACCGTAAGCGACTATTCAGTTGTGGGGAAAGTCGTGAAAACTATCGTCGATCCAGGCTGACAGCTCAACCCTTAAAAGGAATACGATAAACTCCCTCAATGACATGTTTCGAGAAGCATCGCCTGCAGTAAAATCACATTCTAGACGAGCTAGGTATTTCCAGCGAAGCTGGAATAATATTTGTCCTTCAAAAAGGCAGGTAAACTCTCTGCGTCTGGTAAAATTTGAACAGGCGGAGAGATACTAACACCTTATTTGCTATATGCTGTTTGAAACTAGAATTTGTCATTCTATGCGCAATAATAATCCCTGTTTGCCCCTAACTTACAGGACTCCCTAGTAGCTCTCCATGCTCTTCGAGAATTCGCGCTGTCAGACACCAATCGGGCCCTGTATCGTATGGCGGTGGATGAGAAAATATCATCTATCAGCGATTGGACCAACCGTATATATGTGGACAGGGGTAACTATTCAACGGTAACACGTACAACGGTGAGCTGCTGTTCTTTCATAAAACATCTCTACATGGCTGCTTTTGTGCTTTCATGCCCCCTGCATGTTGTAGTACCCGTGCTGAACATTGACCTTTGATTGTTAGTGTTAATGCTAATGGCGAAAATTTTTATCATAACAATATCAAAACCCGAAGATTTCTATGCCACTACATTTGCAAAGGCTACTAAGAAAATCTGCACAGAACTGACGGAAGCACATTACCGCCATCAATGCTTAATCATATCTCGTTCAAACCGAATAATTATCTAGCTCCTTTTTCTGGAGGATTTAGAAAGTGAAAATATCCATGTATTCGGTACTTTGCAATTTGCCCACCCCTTAGTTTTTGTGCCCTCAAGAGTGCACTTAGAAGTAGACAATGAACTGATGTGTGTCACGTGACACGGCTACAGCAATTGCCGCTGATGGACGCACAAATTGGTCTCGTTCGCCATTCATAGCTATTCATAGCTATTCATAGCCTTTCATGGCTTTCATGATGATTTTATCCTTCAAATGCGTCGAGTGCAACTGGTGAACTCAATATAACCGATATTTTGTTTGCCACTTGGTAAGGGGACGTAGTTTTCCTATACCTGTATTTTGGCCACTGCAATCTGACATACTACTGATTATTTTGGAATCAATGTCCATTCACGACTCTTTCGCTTCGGTAAAATTCCCCTCCTGGAATATATTTATGCTGTTGTTCGAATATCCGCTGAACTGTGTCATATTTTTTCATGTACTGCGTGTTTACTTTCTCTTTTTTGGCTTCTCTGACATAAGTACTGGCGGGTTGGATGAAATCACACCACTGATAGTTTCAACCCGCTCATGAGAACTGGAAGTTGATTTCGAGAAATAAACGGCCTGCCAACAAGATGATAGTTTGAAGGCGCTGAATGGTCACCACCTTTACCGAAGCAAGTCCGCATGCATGACAACTTTCGGATCCCAAGATTATACTCCAAGAAATCACAACAAAAACATCTTTTATCTTCCATGCAAACTGGTTTACTTGTTGTCATTTGCACAAAATGGCAGATGTCACTATCATTACCACCACACTATCCCTGTGATTTCTTCCAAGCTGAATCACTTTTTCTTGACCTGTAGTTTATCTGAGTAACGCCTGCAACTGCACTATGAATTAAGTTCACCTGGTGTGGGAAGTAGGATTTATTTCATTTCATTTATCGTTTATTGAATCGGCAATAACCTTTTTGACGAAAATCCAGCTGGCTAGTTCGGATAACTTGGTTCAATACATGTGGGTTACAGCTCTCCACACGCGGTGATCGGCAGCAATGTTGGCTCCGGTCCTGCTTCAAACGACCAACACCGTAAGCTTTTCAAACTCATTTGTCAGCATAGACCTTAGTTGTAATAAGCTTGCTCGTAAATTGACGACACTAACCTGTGCACAGAACAGGAAAGACACACAGCCTTCTTGTAAAGAGAGTTTTCCGGTACGCGGAGAACATGACCCGGAAATTACTTTCAGCGTAAATCACTACTCTGTGAACCATTCACGCCTTTTATCGCCATTGTATTGATAGTTTGAAATGACGCGCCATTGTTCAGATTGATCATATCAGTCCGCCATTAGGTTGCCTGGTTGATCATCTTTTGGACATGATGTTGTTTCTAAAATTGCCCCCTTTTTCTTTCTTTAATGCTATCCCCTCCAGCACATGGCGTTACTTGTCGTTGTGCGTGACGGTCCATCAGCGTAGCTAGACTTATTCAGTAAACCCAGATACAAAAACTGGGCCATCGTATACCTGAGTTATCTATGCGCAAGACAATTTACTATATGGACTGTGCACTCCGACTGAATTGCTACCAAACCATTGAAAATGTTCGCAGATAACCAAATTTTCACCGGATAAGTATGTCAGCCTTCGTAGAAAAAAACATTCCGCGAGGAACTGTTGTCACATTTGAAATTCATACCATCTGGGTTCATGGAGGGAAACGTGCTACCCCGCAGTATCAACCATACCTGTGTGACGTCATTACCCAGTAGATAGCATTAACACTAAGATTGCCCATGTCTAGTTTGCAATAAAATCTTCGGCTACCAGTCTATTTATGGCTTGGGAATTTGTGACGGTTCTGGTTTTGTTAGGAAACGCGGGTCTGTTTTAGTAAACCTAATCGTAAAATTTCGTTATTTGGTCATAACAGTCCAAAAAATTGTCCAAGGGAAAGCAGCTCTCATTGCGCAAGGCGAGTCATGTATTTGACGCTCGAGACCCGCCTCAATCGATTACCACCCAACCTAATCCTGGGACTATCGAAAACCCCCTGCTTCTGTTTGTATCAGCATAGTCTTTTTTTAAATAACCTGCAGTATCTCGTAACCAAGACCCTTTGCAGATTCAGTTCTGTTTACTTGGGCCACAAATACCCGGTTCAATAATAGATGATCATATCATCTAGACTTCGTTTGTTCTGCCGAATTAATGTACCACCGATGCTTCAACCGCGTGGGTACTAGCCTCATCTGGTAATCTGAACTTCCCACAAAGTGTTCCAGATACTAACTGAACTTCGTCCAATTGGTCACCTTAACCGTCACCGTTGACACTGTCACATGTTTACATCGCATCATGTTATGGAGACGCTACGGTTTACCAAACATTTATCCCTTATTCATGATGCCAAATTCATAATGCTTTTACAATGCCTTCACTAGCTGAAGTTGTTACTGCTTTTCTTACGTAGTGGAAGCCACCTTCGTTGAATGCATGGACCTATTCATATCACAGGCGCACTAGACCAAGTTGACTCCAACCAAACATTAGGCACATTTTATTTGCACATCTTAGATAAAAAATCAAGAAGTAAAGCATCATATCCTATATCCCCTGGGTTTTTGAGCAACTAATATTCAGTCACCTGAGACTAAACAGACCGGTTTGAATGATTAAGTAGTTCGAATGTACATTTTTGTCGAAGTACCACATTGAATTGGATATTGAATTGAATATTTTCCAACGCATTTTCCCAATCAGTCATCAAGCAGACGAAATAAAGATAAACTGAGCAAAAGGCCTGCAAAGGAAAATACCGACTCTTATCTATTTAGACACAAAGAAGCTACGGCCTATTTGGTCATGAGAAGTAATTCGTGAATGAGAACAATATCAAAGTTATGCAGTTGTGCCCGTTCCTCATATAAGAGTGCCGTCTTGATTCAGCAGCTGACTGTGAAAATTGATCAATTTCTGATGGGTGAGACAATTAGGCCCTGGCTGTTGTTGACAGATTTTCTTCATACTAACATTGTGCAAATGTGTAAGCACACAATCCTGTGATTGTGAACACCGACATCCGTCGTTTGTGCTGTTGGAGAACCATGTAAAGCATTTGTCGGTCACTCGGGTGGACCGTGTACGTCCATTCAGCAAGGTAGTGCTCATTTACATGTAGGCACACGGAAACAATATGGCATTGCACGGTGGCAAACATAACACGGCTGAAAAGCCGACAGCTCGAGCCAGGTCAAGTGACTGTAACAGCGACGGGTGTGTAGTATGAAAGTTGCACTTAGCGTATAGGCACAGTGCCGCTTCCAAGAAATTCCGTTTTCTATCCCAGATGGACCAGTTACACCGAATTTTTCTGGAGATTCCCAGTGATCAGAACATTGGTAGCTCAGAACGTGTTCATCAATGTGGAGCATACATTATTCAGAGGTTTACTGCTGGTAGGCGCATTTGAAACAGTCCAAAGGAGCTTTCAAGAACTTTGGTGTTAATTGTTCAGATCTGGTTGAAAGTGCACTTTGAGATTTATTCACAGAATCACTGTCTGAGCACAGTGCATTCCATAATTAGTGGATTTACCGGACAGACGCTGACGAAACTTAATCTCAGGAGAATCTTTTTCAACAGTTTTTTGAGTAAAGTTCTATCGTATGGTTGTTTTCAGTTAAGTGAAACCAGGAAGTACTGATGGGAATCTTCCTTTACCTATCACGGTGCCCCATTATATGCCTCGACTTTTATTTTCAGTTTCCACCATGGGATGTGTGGGGCGATGTGACCATGAAAGTCGAGGGAACCGGATGGCTTTTGTTGCAACTCGATGTCCGAGTGAACGTGGAATACCCACAAATGCAAAAGATGCCACGAAGTCCACAGAATCTAGAAGAGGTGATGCGAAGTTTCGATATTGAATGTATCCCAGGATTTCGCGGTCGAAATAACTCCATTATGATTATGAAGGCATGTGGCCGTTGGGTTGGAACAATGGTAGGTTGATTAAATTGCGTCGAATTTGTTTACCCTATTCCATATCTTTTCATTAAGTAAGTGTTGCTTACCTGCCAGTTAATTGGGTCATCAACGTGCAAAAGCCAAACTCCGCTGAGTAACAGTTTATATCTAACAATGTGGTCATCTTTGCATGGAAATGGTACAGATGAACTCAGAAAGGAACACGGCGTGTTAAAACAGTCACCCATTGCATAGCATAAGAAATTATCACACAACCGTCACTCATGTCGCTTGAAACAGTTTGACTCCAAAGGTAGTTGTAAGAATTAGTAAGAGCTTATGATTTGCTTGGTGAGTTTGATACAAAATCGGTTTGTTCGTAATGTTATTTTTTAGTTAAAATAAATTGTCACTCAAAATCGCAAATGCTTTCTAGTTGGGTCCCTCCAAACGACTAGTAGGAGAATGACACGGACGGTGCGGTTCGGAACTAGCTTGTAGTTTCCGAAATACACTCGTTTGCATAGCAATTTGCTTTTGATGGGAGACTCACTTGGAGCCCAGCTGAATCTCTCGTTTAGGATATACCTACTGAAACATGAACCGGCCTGGTGCACCTCATTCAGTTGCATTAAAACATCGCGAATGAGAGATTCAACTGGGGTCCAAGTGAGTTTCCCGTCTCATTGGAGATGAGATGGGGTGATCTGATAAAACTATATCAGATACGGATGATAGATAACTTCAGTGTTTGCTCCTAAGATAATCCTATTATTGCGCCTCAGCTTAATGCCATCCTGACCCGATCACTTGAAAAGAAATGTTCCTTCGGTCTAGTCGGACGATATTGCTTGTGCTTAGACTGTTTGTCTGACCAAATTCCTTCACTAGGGACTATTGACCGAAGCCGGTTTTCTGATTAATGCTCTCTCTAATGTTTGCTCACGTAAAATTTACCATCACTTGTACCAAACTATTCACCAGAGACTCATTTAGGTTTCCTTCTCTTCAATAAACGATGAATTGCACTGTAAGGAGTGTGTATTATTTTCCTTTCAAAATTGACGAAGGAAATAAGGAGAAATGCAACCGACTCGTAAAAGGATCCGTTTGGTGGCATTAAGATGACAAGATCACTGACCTAAGTACAATACTCGGTACTTTCTTGACCAGCGTGCAAACTCACTTCCCTTGTCTCCTGACTGGCATAGGACGCACTTCCAGAGACATGCTGTGTGGTATTATTTTGATGCAGTGGTTAAGTCATACCAGTGATCTGATCCTATTCACCAACTCACGAAGCACCCCCTGCATGGAAATGTTTATGTGACTTTTATTTATTCAGTAGGTTGCATGCTTAAATCTCGCTTCACACATTACCAACAGGGTGTTGAACCACTCAGTCAGAGTGGCATGGCGGTGTTCAGTATCGGACTTCCTACAGGTTATGTGGTACTCAACGATGACCTTAGACGGTATGTGATGAGCGGCCAAGTCCCAAACCTACGGTTTGCGCGAACGTGGACCAAAACTGTGGACTTCTTTTTTGATACGGTGAGTCGAGATCACTTTGGGGCACTAAGATGTGCGTACTGTTCAACTGAATCCTCCGAAGCTGACACAAAGCAACACACGGTATACCGACGTAGATCCGAATGTTCACGGTACTTTAGTGTGTTATAGCCCGGAGTCGCTCTTTTATCGGGTTACTTTTGGGCTCCGCGGATGGATACCATATCTAGTCTAAGACTTTGCGAAGGGGGGAAAGTGAGTTCTTGGCAAGTAAGAACCTGACCACTCGAATATCCGCCATTGCCTGAGAGTACAGTACCTCTATCGTGACAGCTAAACATGCAAAAGGTGCGAATTCTAACGGTCCGATTTCTCGAAAGACACATCACAATCCAAGTTGTCTGTTATACTTCCCGTGTGTGGTGTTTGTAGATAACCGACTATCTAAGTAGCAGCCAGTTGTCTACTCAGATTAGGTTAAAGGATAGAATAAGTTTTAACTAATATGGGGAGCAAAGGATCTTTGTTTTTGCGTCCGTGGACATAAGGATAGGGGTTTCATATTTTTGCTTCCACCTACTGACGAGCCGAATATTCCGCCCAACAGATCACCACCAATCAGACGTGTGTGCAGTTCCAGGCTGAACGGTACTACCCAGTGGCCAATACAACACAACAACAAGTTTGTTCCGCATATGAATACTATGAACCAGGTAAGTTTTCTCGTTTTTTCCTGGGTTTTCTTTCTTCTAACACAGGTCAAGGGGGGGGGTCAATACTGCTAAAATGTAGTCAATGCAAGTGTAGTACCGATCGTTATGAGCTCCGCTGAGTAGGTGGAAGTTTGGCATCCCAATCCACTTAATGAGACTTGCTATTTGTGTCAGGTCCTTAAAATTAGATCACTGTGGTTGACGACCCTTAAGAAGGTGTCCTCTTTTTGGCCACATGAAAGTTTATTATGTTATCCGAATGTGCACAGCTTGATAAATAGATGGGAAAAACCGATATAACTTTCCATACGAGTTCCGTGATTGTCATTTCGGACGTTAGAAAACAGCTTCCTGAGAAATCTCGCAAAGTTGGCCATTATTCGTTTCGGACAGCATGTCTGTGCGGCGAGGTGATTGTTGCTTTATTACGGAGTGATACCAAAAGAGCTAGAAAACCTCCTCAAGACAACAATCTAATGAAAATAGTCCAGTTTGTTTGCTGTACGCAAGGGAAGGAGTCTTAAAACTGTTTCTCGTTCTTGGATTATGTCTGAATATCACGCTTAGCGTACGCGGTCTTTCCAAGTAGTTATCGACTGAGGTATTTGTCATGCATTTTATGTGTTACATCAGTAATCACATTCCTGATTTACGTTTTGTATTATTCTGCATTATTATTCTGTATTCCTTCACGACAACAAATGTGCTGATGTGAAACAACTTTGTCCTTTGCAGGTCGCTATAACCATTCAATGTACAATGTCGTATCATTATACACCAACCACATATGTAACGTTTGTGGAGCCTATGCATGTCCCTACTGTCCGGATTACAACGATGCTAAGAGGAAAGTTTCGAAGAAGACCACCGTTTCCTTGTTAGTTGCCTTCACACTGTGGTTAACCCAACGACATCTAGCTCGTAGTGAAGGTGACTAATGCAACAGTTAACTTTAGTCAAGTTTTCTCTTCCAATATTGCAACCTGAAAAAATTTCCCCTGTGGATATATATATATATATTCAAACTGGAACAGCCCCTATTGCCATCTCGCCGCCTCTTGTACACTTTTTCTATGTACTTGCCTCTACTGACCCAACTCTTCTGAACCAAATTGCTTGGTACGGTCCTTTAGCAGACCACCACGTGCCCTGTACTATTTTTCCATCGACTTTCATGTGCCGCAGTGATGTTAATAGAAGTTTTTCACATGAATTTGAATCGTTTATAAATTTTCTGAGAATCGATTTTTCAGTGTGCATTCTTCTACTCGTAGTTTGTGTAGATTAGGTGAGTGAAACGTGCACCTAGCAGCCGAAGAAAATTGAGCGTGGAACACACTGTCAGGTATATTGAAAGCCCTGAATATGTTTGTCTAGGTATTAACTTACATTTTGGCGACCATGTTTTGAGTCAGGATGAAATGCCGCGAAAATAACAAGAACAGTTGTCTGAGTATAAACCAAACTAAGATTCTTTCGTAACTTTTTTTAGAGCTATCAATGACAAAATACTCTGAAGCAAGTAAAATTCATCTGGATTTCACAGGTTTGTGGCAGCTGGAATGCACCGTTGGCAATCCTCATTTGCTCCGTACTATGTCAGCTGATCGATTTGAGGGTGAGGCCATCGATCGGGCGTCTGATCGAAACGGGACAGAATTGATTTCAGCCCATCGTTCCCAATCATAGCTCGAAATAATCGGCCACAGGGACTGACTATGTGATTAGTTGTTCCAATCCTTTGCTCCGAGAAAGAATGAAGGATCGTTTTGAAACCTCATTGGTTTTTTCGAGTGGTCTTACTATTTAAGGTTATATAAATGCTGTAACCTGCACTGAATTATGCAACTTATGGTGGCGGAAGAAAGTGTATGAAACCTCGTTTTTTAGTACGGTCACGTTCAAATTATATTTCGTCTTCAAGCCAAAGACTTTAGATTCTTCAAGATATACTGTTTACTTCCAAAATGTTTACTATCCAAAATGACTGGCAGTTTTACCGCACTAAGCTCAAGCGGGGAGCTACTTGCCCCGTGTATCAAGAAATGCTGCGCTGGTCATTGAGGTCTCCCTGGATGGGGATCCTCAGACGGGCTACATCGATTATTAGAGACATTGTCAGACATGGCGCAGTCACACCCTTTATTGCACTCGTGCATCTGAATTGTTGCATTTGATGCATAGCTCCCCTCCCAATCCCCTCCACTCCACTGACAAACTTGTATTTACGCACCAACTCATCAGCTCCCGCCCCCAATGCGCAGCTAACCACCCCATGCCCGCAAATCACCGGTGTACGAAACTATGGAGTTACAACCAGCGTACGACAAGTACGCAGTTCTTACAAGTGATAATGAAGATGATGGATTCCATTGCAACCAAGTCAGCCTTTGCACTGCCTTTTCGGTCGACACAAAAGCTCCAGTTAAGTCTTATATTAGGGCCATGTCAGTACGTGAACGGGTGCTTAATTCTACTTAATGGCTTGCCGATCAAAAACAATAGCGCGTGAACAGCTTTACGAGTAACACGTCAAGTATTTACTCTAATGAAGGCGACATGTTCATACGCAAGAATTTCAGACCTCAACATTGCAAATGTTTTAGCAACTATTAGAGGCCTTTTGGTCCATGGAGTGTTAAGGCGACATCATGACTGACAACAAAGAAGCGGTAGACGAAGGACGACCGACCATATGCTTGGATAGTTGAGGTCACAGCCGCAGTAGTATGGGTTAATCGTTACAAAGGTTAGTTTGTAGTCCAAGTTATCTCATATGCAGTAAAATGATCTAATCCTCAGCCGCTAAAATCAGCTGAATTTCAGTCAAATATGCACAAACAGTAGAGCGTTTGGGCGACATTCAAATGGTTAGTACACGGTTTATTTCAGCACCAGGTAGGATATCCCCGAATTGCAGTAACGTTGACTGCACGCCAGTTTCCAAGCCCGCGACTACGGGATGCCGCTTGATCGATACTAGTCGTGATCCCAGTATATCTGTGATGGTCAGGGAAGCATGCCTTCGTGCGTCGTACTTTCGGTTGAAACCAATGGGTTTACTACGCTTTTTATAGTTTACTTAGTTAACCCAGCAAGAGTGATTTCGCTCACCCATAAGGTTTCTTTATCGACGCGCAATAGCAAGGTGAGATTTGAACACGAAGGCTAAAGATTTATTCTGCAAAGACACCATCCACAGGCAACTCGTTTGGGTGGTCTTCATCCTGTCCTAGGGCCATTTTCTGGTTGGTTTGTACCAAAACGGGAAGGCATTGGACTTCCACCATGCTCTGACACAGCTCAGCTGCACCACGTCCTCCTAGAAGTGTCGGGATCCGAATCCTAGATGTCTGATATCCAAAGTGACTGTATTACCTCTACTCCACTGGCGCATGCTCGGAATGGGTAAATGTGTTCAAACCTGAAGGATGACAAGTCTGCCCGATGCCTCGAACGACGACCCATAAACTGCCCCGGTTGCATCGATCGATTAGCCAGCCCGTCAGGACTTCCCGGTTAAATAGCGTTGCGGATACCTGGAGCCTGGTGGACAAACTTTCTGACCCGCAGGCAGTTGCGAGGTTTGTACACTTTGCATTGGCTGATGCGGAAGGACAGATGTTAAGCATATTGTGCACTTATTGCGGCCGAACGAATATCGACATGCGCAGGTTCGTCTCTTTGCTACCCTGTTTATAGGCGACCACTCAATTTTCGTGCCCAATGTCTCTTACGCTAAATGCTAGAATTTAACGACACTAGGTTTGCTTTGTAAACAAGGGCACTCATGCGCAAGCCGGTTCGACTCTTCAACATGTCATTGGTTCCAAGAAGGCATCCTTCAATGTGTCGACCTCAATTGTGTAATGGATTGGTTGGTACGTTGCTCCTTCACTCAAACAATGCAAAGGGTGAAAGTTCCCGAAATAGCTGTCGCACTGTCAGTTGTATCACTTTCGGATTTACAAGCCAACTGTATCACACTTTTCCTACACCTTCAATGAAACTATCAGTCTGAAAATTATCCTAGCTACTTGCATCAACCAGGCGGTTAGAGAGCGGACCAAATGTAAATAAGACACGTTGAGTAATTTTTTCTCATTTATTGAAGTGAAATGAATATTTTCTGTAAGGTAAGCCCCTTTGAGGAGACTAATATGGGTAGAAAGTCCAAGGGTGTTTGTTCAGTGGGAAACTGGCTCTTCCATCAGAGTTAATGACAAAATAAGGCTGAGATTAAGCTAATGCGAAAGAAATGCCGTTGTAGAAATACAACTGGGGAAACCGTTGGTAAGTTCATCCAAGAATCTTTATCGAGTATGACTAAATAGCTGTCAAGATCATTGTTCTCACTGGCCAGTAAGTAGAAAGGTCGTCGGAAAACAGATGTAACCGTCAAACATGAGGCCATGATTGGTCTCTAGCTGGAATAGTAAACCCGTTTTCTCAGCATTCGAGACATATGTGAGTACGAAAATTTGCTAACTGGGTGCTTCTGTCACGCTAAAAAATTATGACCCTAGTCTTGAATAATACGGTAAAAGTTGGCGCCTTAATCAAATGAAACGAATTAAAACTGGTCGGTGCGCGATCGCTGATCCAAAATCTCCGTCGCCTTTCAACACAAAGAAATTCCTGAATATCAGTCAGCCACTAGCCGGGTATAAATGATTGACTTCTACTGCTTACGAATTAACAAGCATTCCGAAAAAGAAATAGATCACTACTAAAAAGCAGAAGAAAGTGGCTCACACAAGATGTACGTGAAAGTCTTCCGTTCGAAATGCAGTGGGTGTCTAGGTAGATTGGTCAACAAGGAAACACGATGTGGTGGGTGGCGAAACAAAAATGAAAACAAATGCAGTCGAGGGACCTAACATCCTGAAAGTGGAACACACAAACTCAAAAGGTAAGCGTGTTATACAGATCTTTTGGGTTCCCAATGGAACAATCGACGAGAGATGTGAGTTACATATCACTCTGAACAGCCGGTCGAAGAAGATGAAAACTGTGTGCGTGAATGGGATAGGAATAACACGTTGAAAACGGGAGGTATCTATTCAGGGTGACGCGTCGTAGATGCAACGAAAAATCAGTCCCGTTTTTTATCCGACGGTTGTCTGGGTACGGTGTCTCGTACACTGCCTTGTCCATTCAGTGTTGTGGTTGCAGTTCCGGTGGCAGGAGTAGATCCAGGTGAGCCTGTTGACGGTGTGCCAAACGGTCCAGTGGATACTGGAAACGAAGGGCTAGAGGGCACGCTGGAGGAAGTTGAGGTGGCAGCAGCAGTTTTGGCAGCCCGGCTACGTTGGACGGCATTGCGCAAAGCATCCACAGTGCCACCGAAAAGTACCGTGCACAACACATTTTCGAAAGGCGAGAATGGATCTTTCAGGCCCAAAAGTATCATGGTAACTCTAGATTGTGGAAAGGGCGATCACAGGTGAGATTCGAGAAAAGTTGGATAATAATCAACAATTGAATTGCGAGAAAAACATGGACGTTATTCTGGTTTCCGCATTCATTAGCATTAGTACGTCATGGTGACAATGCCAACTTCCATGTGTGGTTCGAATAAGTAAGTCAAGCTAGCTCTAATGAGAGATAGAAATGACTAAGCTGGGTAGCGTCAAAGCAAGTGAATTAGGCCACTTAGAAAAAATACGCCCATTTTCCTCGCATTGTGAACAAACTAAGCTTTGCTCAATTCCCTCGAAAAGGGGATCGGAGTTGGCGCAGTAAGTAAAGGAGACCAAGAAGCACCTCAGGATACACAGAACCTTATCCACGTTCATTATTGTGATTGATTTGTACATTTCACCAAATGCAGATGTAGGCATATCTATTATCTAAAGCATAATAGTTTAGACGTACTTCACACATGAGAAATTAGTAAACACTGGCAAGCGGTTAACCTTTTTTTCGACATAACGTTGGTCAAACAATAGACGATGTCATCTGCGTATACCAGATCGACAAGGTTTTCGTCACAGGCTATTTGAGCACCGGGGTTTTGGAGACCTGGTGTTCGTCTCATCATTTCACTGACAAAGAAATTAAACAGAATGAAAAGAGTGGGCATGCCTCATCGACACCACTTTGTGTACGGAAGCTTTTGGAGAGGTCTGCGTATACTCTCACACGCCCAAAAATGTCAGAATACAAAGAACTTATGGTGTTCGCAAACTTCCGGGGCATTTCTTAATGGGTGAGTGAAAGCTTTGGAGATCCAGGAACACTAAGATCGTGGGTCGTTTGTACGTATGACGTTGTTCTAGCATCTGATGGAATGTGAGGATTCGGTCAACGCAACCTATACCAGGCCAGGACCCTGCTTACTGATCCCGAGTGAGTGTTTTACGGGCCACCATAAGGCGACGAAGCACAAGTGAAGTCAGCAGTCTTCTTACGACCAGGGGTCAAGCTGATCCCCATATTCACTACGAGCCCCCCTTTTGAAAATGGGCACTATCACTGACTCTTCCCAGTTTTCTTGGACAAATTCCTTTTCCAAAATGCAGACAAACAGATCAGACAAGCGTTGACTGAGACTTCACCCTTATTTCTGAACAATGCGGATTGGAGGTCATCCGCACCAGAAACTCGGTGGCGCTTGAGAGAAAATGTTCAGTCATAAACCCCCGGGGCCGTAGGTGGCACCACGTTCACCGTTTAGGGTTTTACGTCAACTGTGGTCTCCAGACATTCAGAGACTCGAAACATTCGGATCACGGGTCGAGGCGTTCTTCTTTACTCAAGATGGTTTCCGGGGACCGGTCTCAGGGATCAACTAAAGTGACCTTCGGGCCTCTTCCATTTCTTGGCTTTCCATATCCACCAGACTTCACGGTCAGCTCGCATGCTCAATTTCATTTGATGCTTCATAGTCTGTCGGGTCAAGTTGTGTTAGGGACTATCTGAAATATTTCTGAGACTACTATTCTGTCCACTGTTCTGTTTAATATCCAGTGTTTGAGTGGGCATGAGAGCGACGCATCATAGGCAAAACTCCCAGCACTGTGCAAAGAGCTGGTAATCTTATCGTAGTATGAATTCACATCTGATGGTGGAGCATTTGGATTATGGTAAGTTCGTCTAAGCTTGTCCGGATCTGCCAGCCTCTCAGTTGCTAAGATATTTGTCCGCACCTTACACGGTCCTGTAAAACGGAGGGAGAAGCGACTCCGGATAAGCCCGTAATTGGAATCCGCTAATGTGCTCCAAAACGATCCACAGTGACTCATTGATCCACGCAATTGGTAACTGATAGCATTGTGATCGATTTGAGTTCGTAGCCAGAACGCCACTGGAGAACACCATGTAGTCAGACGACTTCCGCTACTTCGGAAGTTAGTACTACATAAAAGCAGTCTGCGGTCAGCGCACAGCCGAAATAATTGTTCATTACTATTTGTCAGTACCGAGTCCAGTCAGACGACGCTACTTCGGAAGTTAGTACTACATAAAAGCAGTCTGCGGTCAGCGCACAGCCGAAATAATTGTTCATTACTATTTGTCAGTACCGAGTCCAATCCATGTCGGCCTTCTAATTAAGTCTCAAATGGTCTAAGCCTCTCCACTTGTGCATTCTGCAGCAACCACAACCATATCTGAGCTTTCAACTCGCAGCGACATAAGCGATTAATGCAGGGAACATCAGTATAAGAAGTCAAAATGCAATGTGCTAGTGTTTCAAGTATGAGAGTCATATTTAGTGGTAGATATTCAATCGAGACCACACTAAACTACGTCACCGGCTGGTCCAACCAGATCGCCTGGGGCCAATCAACCCGTTCCAACAAGCGAAAGGAGATGGGTCACTAAACAGCAAAACAGCGAGTCAATCCGATCAGCTAGTAAGCAAAAAATAACGTATCTTTGTTACAAAGCTCTAATCAATCTCACAACAGCAATAAAGTGAGGACTAGGGCTAACGTGTGTGCATGTTTTCCGTTGCATAGCGTAATACCTACTCTGGAATGTTTTCTCATTTACGGCAGTGATTGGATGACCATGCACGTGCTTGGAAAGAATCAGAGTGCAGCCAGAGCATAGCTTACGGACACCTGACCTCAACTAAGCTGACTAGCACAACCGCCTCAACCAGAAGGCCACCATTATAGACCTGGATGTTAAAATGGCCGATGTGAAGGCATTCAAAACCTGTGCAAGAGACATAAGAACATGACTAATTCAGGCGTACTCATACTGTTAAAGCCATTACATAACCTGACTACCCTAGTGTACCTAAAGAAGATAGAGGCCTAACCGGTTCAACAACTCACCACAAATCGATTATATAGGTTACTATAGTGAGGATTAACCACTTGATCGCAGCGTGACGGGATTAAGGTGCATATGACTACACGGGGGGAGTGAAATGGAATATTCCAGAGAATTAAACATGTGGATCAATGAGGTTGAAACATCAAATTAGTGCGTTAGTGCGCATCAATCCAGAATCGACTGCATTCGCCAGTACTGCGCAGCTGACTTGGTAGAATGAAGAACATCTACAAAGTGCATCGTTAATAATAATAACCGCTCAGCTCTGACACAGTCCATGACCGCCTTGCAAATCGGAGGCAATCAAAAATTCAGGATTGGTTTGAACCACGGATCATCCAATCAGCAGCTTCATGTATTAACCACTGAACTAGCTGGAGCTCACAGCGCATACCTCAGACCAAACATCAGAACCAAGTGTCGTTAACCGATACTGAATGACTGTCAAACAGCGCAAACGTGGAGAAATAGGACGGTGACAAGTCAATGACAACCAATCCAGCTGAATGACTGGAACCCTTGGCAGAGTTCTTATTTCATAATTGTGGGAAACACGCTTCTGAAATCAAGGGGTGAGGCCGAGTTAGCGTGTATGTGCATAGTTTGGGGATACTCAGCGGAATGGTTGCGACAAACCATGGGTTCTTACCTGAGGTAAACAAATATCGCCGCGACTGCAAGAAACAGTTGATTCTCCGACAGAGGTATCACATCCCAATGACGCATGTAATAGGCTACTGATGCAAGCAACGAGATCTTCGTAGTACTAAATACGGAGAAAAAAAGAAACTCATGAAACATAAAAATATAACGCAGTCAACGTGCGCATGCAAGCATCTGGTCATATTGGAACACTCATGTATCACTGGCATGCTATAGTATGATACCAAAGACAGGCTCTAAAAACCTTACAATGTTGGATGAAGAAACTCCGTCGCGGCAGGTAGCCAAACACCACGTACGAGACGCTGAAAAAGTTTCATCTCAAGATAGCCAGCACCTGAGAGGGGGATATGGACAATATATTAAATGGTGCAAAGGGTGTATTTTTCAGTTTCGAAAATTGCTTGGTAACCGTGTGGACCACTCTTTCATTTAGTTACTCTAAAAAACATAAGTGATGGTATGAACGACTAAGTCTAGAATGCACTTATGTATCACTGCAGGTAAGGCGAGCGCGCATTTTCGACCCCACAAAGAATGAACATGGCGAGGTGAGTGATGCTTTAAAATTTCCCACTGAGATCACGAGGAAACATCCCGAATGGAAACCCTTGCAAAGCAAACAATGAATTTCGGAAGTGCCGATGAGATCGAAATAACTGGCCCAGAGTTCATAGAACCTCGTTTCATGACAGGGCATATCGCGCCTGTTAAGGCGGGTAAGATATAGAGGATATTGTTGGATATTGTTCGTCTATGTACACCCCTTTAGTAGAAGTAGGCATGAAACCCATTTCCACACCACGCTGAAATAAAACCATGAGTTCACTGTGATTCACTCCATACGGTTAATTCACAAGAGTAAATGCTGTTCTAGATATTAGTTCGCTGTTTGTGCACTAAATAACAGCAGAAAACGTGGATCAAGACTGTTGAGATATACCACTCTACGGGGCGAGGTGACTCAGTGGTTAGAGCACGAATTTACTGACCGGAAGGTCCATGGTTCGAACCCGGCCTCTGCATCTCGACTTGCCTTGCCTAGGCGTAAACAACTTGACAGTATTCCAGCCATGGTGCTTACTTCGGGTGACATGACAGTTAAGCACCGAAAGGGTGTAACGGCTGAACCGTTTTCTCTTTATCTTACTCTAGGGCCTACGTTCTCATTACGGTTTACTACATGGAGACCAAAACTGGGACTCTACATGCGGAGATTTCGTTCCGAATGGCCGCTCCTGAGCCGGAAGGTTTCAATTACTGATGCAAAAATACATGCCGAACCTGTCAGACTACTATTTGTGATTATCTGCTGATACAGTTGTTCCATCGGTAGAATGATTAGATGACGCAAACAGCTCATGAATGTGAACCAAATTTTCTTTCAAATGATAGTAAGGCTGTAATAAATTAGTACCATTAACTAACGCAAGGTAAACAGCCCAGACGATGAACAAGGCGCTCAGTTTCCTGATTCAGATGAATACCATCAAGTCGGAAATGCGAAAGGGCATTCATCCAACTGTATTGAACCAAAAGAGGTTTGAGAGTACGTAGTGATCAAACATCTTGAAGTAATATTAATAATGAACGGTTCGAAATTGAAGTGTGGAGAATTTTTCAAATTCCCCAAAGGCTCCGAAAGCCGTAACAACCGACATTCATCCAAACGTCACACAGACCTTTTTGATTGCAGCCCAAAATCTTCTGGGCCTTCGTTCGCATAGGGTACTACGAGTTGTATTACGTCAAGCGACCAGTGAGGCTTCTTTAGTTCGTTGGATTCATGTTTCCGTGCTGTTTTGTCAGTTTCCACAACCTCCATAAGAACTCCTAAGAACCGTAACGTCCAACTGTCCCTCAGATGTCGCTCTAGTCGCCGGAGATCTCTGCACAGTGGTGCGATTTAGTGGCCTGTTTGTTTTGACTTTAGGCCATGATAATAATGATGGTCTTTGCAGATCCGCGCTGGTTTAGACGCGGTAGACATCATTATGCTACCCCATACTAACGAATATTCATGGAACCATATTGACCATTGAGTCGCGAGGCTGCATTGTTGACTTTCGATTTCGGAGTACGCGGGTAGAATCAGGTGTCGTCTTCATTCAGCTTATCTTTCCAACGAACCAAACTCTCCGTTCAGCAATCGAGGTCTTAATGGCTCAATGATTAAGACGGGAAACTACTGACTGATTGATACGTGTTTCGAACACATCCATGACTTTTCGACAGCGTCTGCTATGAGATTGAACAACCCTGTAGTGTTCTAGCCGTTGTGCTTCCTGAGTTGCACGGAAACTATGCATCGAAAATGTGTCGAAGCTGGACGATTATTATCTATTATTAATGCCGTCCGGCCATTAGAAATTTTAAGAAGTTGAGTTTACCAAAGCAGTCTATGTGGATGTTCATCATCTGCGACCAAGGGACATCCGTACAACAGAGAGCTCGGTATTGGCGTTTCTGAGACATCAACTAAGCACTGGACAGTTAATTCGGCTCCTAGATGCGAGACACTGTTTCTCTAAGGACGCTGAACATATTTCACTTAGAAGCTCCGCTATACGGCTTAGGTATAGCCTGGTGGCGTCACCATGCTCTGGAAATGTAAGCTGATGTAGCTGGGAATGTTAGGAAACCTTACTTCATGCATAAAACGGCACCCAAACACCGGTTGTTAGTAAGGCCATAATAGATAATGGCGGAAAATATGGACCAGTATGGTTACCTTTGAGATGAATATTTACACAGTTTAGATGACCATCGGCTTTTCTGTCCTTGTCTTTCATGCAACCCGCTCAACTGGAGCTGTAAATCATCCCTCAGTAACTAGGGTATTAGTTAGCCGTTCTCTCTTCAAAAGGCAAAAACCGTCAGGGTCATCTGAACCCTCACCGGCGCCACTAGGTGATGACCAATTTTGTATTGTACCTTGTCTTGGTTGTTTGAACTAGTCCCGAAATAAGACCATCAATCATTCTGCAGAATCGGCTGCTCCAACCACAAGTGTGTAGGTCTTAACTCAGAGGTAATGCTGCCAGTGGCCTCACTGATCGTTCAACTGTAACGTCCATTAGGTGCCTAACTGCCAAGCCACCCAAAGCACGAGGGATGGGATACCACCAGGCTGCCCAAGCCTAAACAGGGAGAGTCGGGAGGCAGAGGCCGGGTTCTAACCAAGGACCTTCCGGTCAGTAAATTCGCACTCCAACAGCTGAGCCATCTCGCCCGGCCTCATCATATTGCGGTACCTCATTCCATTACGCGAGCGTCGGGTAGGTTTTTAATATGCTATGAGATGCATTGGCCACACCTCGTCAAGTGAACTACTTAAGCAACGCCACGCACACCACGTCGTTTGTCTTGATTCCTAGAGACAGTTCGGCTACATTGCCCACCTCAGCATTATTATCTCAATTGTTGAACGATAAGCCGATGTCAGGCCTACGCCGCTGGCGTTGCAGGTTCACGAAAATCTGGCATTCCCAATCCGAATGGAAATCTCATCTTTCGCGAGACCACTGAGGCCGATAAAGCTGCCCAGGTAAACAAATTAATCCGCTGTCCCAATTGGCTTATGAGCATGAGGTTATGGTTCGAGCCTATCGCTTTGCAGTAGCACTTAAAACTTTGCAGGTGTGAAAAGCACGACAAACCGTGAGGAAAAATTATTCAGATTATGTTGTCTGCCCTACAGTAGCGTCAGATCCAAGAAGAGATGTAAGCGAATGCCCTGGGAGCATTTCGACCCCAGAAGAAACGTTGGCCTTAAACCGTGGCTCTCAACCGGTGGCTGATATCCAAGTGATCCAGTCGGGTCCATGGTTGATTTGTGCTTGGTGACCACTCGAGATAACCGTGACTAACGCGCGAACTTACCGACTGGAAGGTCCGTTAACACTGATGTTTCGCTGCCGCACCTCGGCCATTTGACATGTACGACCATGCTTGGATCTTGTATGCGTGCACTGGAGACAGGGCATATATGTTTTGAGGAATTATAAGGTTTCTGGAGCAGTCTGTTTACCAATTTGACAGAGTACAGACGTTGAAACCTCCTATGTAGAGACGACCTCGTGGAACTAGCGAGGTGTTTTGTTTATTGCTGATGGATAGCGAGGTGCATAAAGCACACCGGTCCAATAACTGGGACTCAACTAATTCAGCAGCACTTGCTTGTATGGTTGGAAGGGAATGGGGATGGAGATCTGCGGACGAAGGACTGCGCAAGTAAATGATACTTCCAGGTTGCGCTGGCCGAGGAAGGGATTCTGGTTGAGGTACCCCACCTTAGGCCTTTGACTCAAAAGTCTGACGTACAAAGCAGTGAGAGCGAGACGGCCCAAGTGGTTAGAGCGCGAATTTACTGACCCACAGGTCCGTGGTTCGAACCCGATCTCTGCCTCTCAGCTTCCTCTGTCTAGGCTTGGGTAACCTGGCAGTATACCAACTCTCGTGCAACCTTCGGGTGGTATGACAGTTAAGCACCGATACAGCTGAACTCTTACCTTATTTCTGACTCAAAAGTCTGACCACTGAAGCAGCGGGAAGCGAATTTTTCCTTGGGAACAGTGGCCAGAACCCGTGATATGACATTCTTACCGGCTCAGCTGTAGGGGGTCAGCCAAACCCGAGGGCGAAGGGAGTAAGATGATACTGTCTGACTCCCGATCGAATGCGCACAGCAATTGCCTTTTGAGCAGAACCAGACTCGTTTTAAAAGTATTTCGGTCGCATTGAATAATGTGCTGGGTGTCACGGCCAACTGCTGAGCGATCCGATTGTGGTTTACCAGAAGGCTCATTAGATAGGTGCTGTATCTCAGAACAGTTACTGTCGCAGCTCGATGCGAGGAAACTGACAAAGTCCGAACAACTGTTCTGATAGCCCACTGACAGTGCTGGATTTATGCACCAATTTACCAGCTCACGCGTGCAATGCGCAGCTACCTCCCCCCCCCCCAAATCATCGGTGAACGAAACTGCGGCAGCTACAACCACTGTAAGACGAGTACGCGGTTCTTACAGCTGACTTGCAATTCATCCGATGGGCAAAAAGGGACCAGAAGGATGGCTTCGATGCCAAAAAGGTTAATTTTGAAAATTCAACACCGCAGGAACCGCCGCCTTGATCTCGGGGCTGATTACTTTGGAAAACCGTTTAATGAGTCGTTTGCCTCTGAACCCATGCATTTCGTCTGAGCCGCCGTGCAGTACGTAGTATGTGAGTTGTTCCTCGTCCAAGTCTTGAAACACCACAACGCCTTTCTGCCTTGAAGCACTATCGGGTTACTGGGCTGGATAAGCTTCCGCCAGTGTTGAACAAAGACGGTTTTATCTTGCCTTGATCAGTTTGTTTTAACTAGTATGGGAACATTCGAATGCATTCGAAGAACTGAAGGCAAGTTAATAGCTGTACTTTAATTCAAAAAGGGATATGAAGCGAATCCTCTAGCCGTATGGTTATAGGCGTTACTCCAGTTGTAACGCGGCTACTAGCCCCAGTAATACTATGATGTCTGACCTCATCACGCGAGACGCAAGTCCGAAAATACTAAGCGGGATTTCGACCAGGTAGGGGGTGCAAAGTGGCCACAACTTTACATTATGACAAGTGCTTGAGCAACATCACCCGACCAGCTGTGGCGGTTTTTCTTAACTGCAAAAGACCTTCTGATCCCGTGGATAGGTCGGCTCTTCTGCGCACACTTGGTCAAAGAGCAATTTTCTGGGAGCTTGTGAATAATTCGTTATTTATTCCCACATTTCTGATTTACAATGGGTTATCGAACTTTTACCATAACTATTGGGGTCCCCACAGTTGTTCAACTTGGTCGGAGACACCATCATGAAGTGTGATCTCCAATCTGACTATCGAAATCGAACTTTGAGGAAGGCTGGTGAGGCCACACCGTGAAGAAGATATTGCTGTTATTCGATGGTCAGTCTTACTCTGGCTGAAAATTGGCCTCACAGACCCAAAAACCTGAGACGAGGGTATTTACCACCCGTATCTACGTCGTATACAGGCGCTAACTGGCTGCAGTACGTAAGCGAGTACTTGCTAATAAGTGTGGTGCACCCTAACAGCAGATGAGGCTTATCAGGTTTCGGAGACCACCGTCCACTTCAACACCTCGTTAGAGAAATGTCGGCAGGGCATAGACATTAACGTGAACAATGCGCACTGTAGTGGCTATTGTCAAGTTGAGCACTGGAAGATCTCAGCGTGCAGCCGAGTTGGAAACCTCACAGGGCAGAGCGTAAACAACCGATAGTGGGCTCCTTACTGCCATTTCTTAGTCAGACTGCGAGGCTAACATATGTCTGGCGTTGTGCTGAGCTTGTATTGGATAAGGTTCGCAAAGTACATTCAGCCAACCGCGCTCCAACATGACGCTCAGCTGTGTTTACCTAAACGGCATCGGAAAGTGCAGACATTTCAATTTTCGCTGTTTTTGCCCGTGAAATGCGGTTTTTCAATATGTTTCCCTTTAGTTTGACCCTTTACTATGGCTTTCTTCTCCACAGCTTAATGACATTTAGACACCAGTTCCCACTACTGGTGTACCGCTGTTCATGATTATTAGGACAAAGGCTGATATACTGCAAGCTTTTCGAAGCCTAGACAGAAGCAATCGAAATGCCACGGTGGGGTTCTAACCACAGGGAATTGGTGGGCAGTTCCGCGCCTTAATTACTGAGATATCCCAAAATGCTACTCACTTCCTTGGGTGCGAGGATTAGATATCTATTACTGGTTACTACGGAGGGGTGATTAATAAATGGAATAGGAGTTGAGAGGTACCACTGAAGAAAGCGGTGTCAGCAATAGCCCGTTTTCGCTGACTAGCCCTACTGTGGAGAGCAAACAAGGCGACCCGGTTCAGGGCACCAAGCGACCGCCGATGTAACACGAAATTGATGTTAGTTGTAAAGGTTGCGATTAAGTGAGTTGAGATACTTCAAGGACTTCCAAACCTAAACAGGACGATTATGGTCACCAAACAACGCCTCTCCCTCGCAAGCCTGACAGCAGGGTAATCGTGATCACAGTAGTCCAAATTTCAGGTAACAAGTCATAAACGTCTCGACCTCCAACCCCAACCCCAAGGACAAGGATACTGTTTACCTTAACCCACTCATTGGCAAAGCTGGTAGGAGTGACTGAGTGCGACAAGGATAAGTCTTAGTGTGCCTCAATGGTTTACGGAACCGCCAAATCGCCACATCAGGTACCATCTATTTAAGACTAGAAGAAGAGGTCGTGAATTGAGAGGAAGGGGGGTGCGGCTCGGATCTATCGGTGAGACCCTAGTACTCGTTGTACTCGACGCGCGATATTATTATAAACCGATCAAACAACCGGCGAGTTCTTCGACATTATTTACCTGAATTCTTAACACACATTCAAATCATCTGACACAACTATCCTGTCTGTATGTAATTCCAGAAAGCTGAAAGCTGAATCAGGACATTCATTGCTTATTCAAAAATCCTTCAGCTGAAGCACGAATAGAGTTTGTGCTTCTAGAGGGGAATAATATCATGCTCTACCAACGAACTTTGGAATTTAACGTTATGGCGACGCTGAAATTTGGATGTGTATGGACATGTGGTAAACATAACTGGAACTCCTGAGAGAAAATGAAAAAAAAAACAGCCTATCTTGGACACATGCAATTCACAAGTATGAGTCGAATCGGTTTTTAGCTCCTGTTCTGAGATCGCCTGTGGATCCTGTTTATAGGGTTTATGTATATTAAGACTGAAACGATAGCATTTATACTGGAAGGCACCAGGTGACCCTTAACCGAAATAGTCAGCAACTGATGAAACCATAGCGAACATGAGGTATAAAACAAATGTCATTTTCACGCTTTTGAATGGAGCTGCAACAGAATGTCAAGTAAACTTACACTAGGCGACATTAGCTGGGAAACCCTGGAAAAATCACAAACGGGGGATTCGGCTGGGTTCTAGGTGAGTCTATCGAAGAACTAAATTAGTTTGCAAATGAGTGCATTTCGCCAGGATTTTGTTATTTAAGTGATTCACCGTGATAGGACGCTAGATTTAACTGAAACGTCCAATCAAATAGATTTTGGCAATGAAAACCACCAGGTGGCTAAACCAAAACTGCAGGGGAAATTCATGTATAACTGCGGTTGAACAGGCTCACACCTCCCACCGTTTAAATGCACAGTACATGCAAGCACGGATAACTAGGTGGCTGTTGGGTCAGTCCATATAGAAATACAACCACAGTACAAAGCAACCTTTAGCCAAAAAACGACAGCAGACATGGACGGCACACCCTGACAGCCAAAACACGGCAGCTCCCAAAGTTACGGTGTCAGGAAAAACCAACAGCGAGAATATCACGAAAAAGCAACAGGGTAGTACCGTCCAAGAAACAGCGACACAAACGAGTGCGATTGACGAACATGTCCCTAGGGCTCATACACATGCTATGACCACTGAATCAAACGAAATACTCACAATGGTACAACAAACAGTGGATTTTTTGTCGGCTCCCATTTGCCAAGGATAAACTGTGAGACAGGACGGATAAATATGCTACCACTACCTAAAGTATATGCACAGAATAAATCTCCGCAAAACAATATACCTTTGAGAAGTCCGAGTAAGACACAAGTCACGCCAGATTCGGGAAATTGATGTAACCCGTGGTGAACGCCTATTGCGATTTTCCTGGCCCGTTGTATCTCCTTCAGTGAGCATATAATCAACCGAAAAGGCAGAAATTTGCAGAGGCGGTAAACCAGGTCAAACGGGAAGTAATTGATAAGATACCTGCGACGTAAGTGTACGTGACAACCGTCTACTCACCATACGACTGTGGCCGTAAGAACACCACGTGTGTCATCAAAACACATAAACAAGGGCTCCCCGCATATGAAGCTGGACAGGATGGCCCCGCCGAAACACATCAACATCGTAGCTAGCCAACATGAGAACGGGTGACGTCTAGAAAAAGCTGTCGAGCCTTCGAAGTAATGACCGAAAAATTGCTCCCGTATACCTACCTGATTGTGGTGTATCTTCCTTGACTGCCATACTCATGAGTATATAGTTACACACATCGAAGTAGGGGTACATGCGCAACTTGGCGAAAGAATTAGCGACATCCTCGATTATCACAGGATCCATCGCGACGAAACTGCGCGCCCTTGTTAAGGTTATTTGCTTGAGTGAGTAGAAGAAATAAACCGTTAGTCCACTTCACCGTGCCAGATCTCATGGGAAGTAGGGCACGGATGCCGTAATTAAAAGTGTTGCAGCCAAAGCGTAAGGCTCCTCGTTTAAATCAGCAACCGAGTGTTTAATTCACCTCTTTAGTTAGCGAGCAACAGGCGTGCCTTGTAAGCTGGAACCACGATCCTGCTTCTATTGTACAATGGGTGCAAACTCTAGCAGGCCAGACACGCTGAGTGCCTTGACTCTACGCCTGCTGGCTTGGTGACGCTCAGTTCAAAGCAGGAGAAAATAGTGGTTATCACCAGTTGGTGAATATCGCACCGGAAGCATGATTATAATTGTACACAGGGTGGAATTGTGACTGGTGGGATTTATTATTTAGGATTGCGCGGAATCGCGGCAGCTACACAGACAGTGGGCATCATCCGACGCTCCCAACCTAGAGCGATCAAACTTCCTTTGGTACTGAGGACAGAGGAACGCAGTTATTGAGGAGTGTCTTATCGTTTGCGGCACATATTACGCTTAAGCGCCTTTCGGTATTCGCAAAATGGAATTAAAATATCAAAATCTGCGTTTTCAAGGTCACCAATTCATAGTGAAGCATGTTCACGTCTAATGGATTGTTCTGCAAATTATCTCCATGGGTGGTTTGTTCAAGTGAGCGATGTAATAAGATATCGCGAATTCCGGGACACAAGGGACAGGTAGTTATGCAGCTGAAATAATTCAACGAGCTTTCTATAAAGTACATTGTGCTTGTGGACTTGAAATATGCGGGAATGACTGTAAATAATTTTTTCCGCTTATGTCTTCTTGGCTAGATGAATAGCGAATTGGTTGCTGTACAACCTCGACAATTACTGTTGCGAGTTATCACCACAGTAGTTACATTCATTGTTTTCGGATAACTCATGCGAATTTGGAAGAACGTAAGACTTGCATATGTTGGTGACCTATGCGGAAACGTCAAGTATGTTGGTGCGCTACGGCCTAGTTCTGTACTAAGCAAAGCATGCGAGGGCGATCAAATCATTGATCATAGCGGACAGCTGAACGAACCCAGCTTACGCACATGGCTAACTTGCGGCTAGGGGCACACGATACCCAACCAACTAGACCCACATCATTCATAGCGGACGACTGAAGGAACCTATCTGATGCACATGACTAACATGCGGCTAGAGGGCCCTGATGACAAACTAGTTGTCCGTACAAGAATCATCATCACAATACTTGGCCTGATATGACGCGCGATCTATTGCACGCCAGCAGCCACCAGCACTATTCGCCTGGCACAAAGCAACCGAAACCTCAAGTCACTGTCCCTAGATCGCCATCTAAGTTGAGGCCTCGTATCCACGAAGACCGACAGCAAGCCGTTGGTCGCCGACGTTGAGCCCTGGTGCAGCAGGATTTGCCCCCGAACAATCAACTCCGTTATGATGGCTGTGATCCTCATGGGGCCCATCCCTTAAAACTCATTCACCATTCGTTTCAGATGCCAGAAGTCAATCGGCGTTGAATTACCGATAGCTCCTGGAATAAGCAACCAGCTACTCCCAGCCGGCTGACAACTGTACTGCAGAATGCACATGCCCTATCTTCCAGGCGATGTGACTTTCCTGCATTCATTTGTTATCTGTATTTAGAGACCAGTCGTTCAAAGAGGTTAGCAACATTCTTCGTGGATGTATTTTAGCGTGCTTCTCGATTCGCCATCGGTGGTTGTCGGATTATGACCTACTGAAACAAAGAACACAGTTTATGCTCACACCAAAGCCACCACCGTGAGCCTTGATCGTTCGGTTATTACGTTCGGCTAGGCCCTTTGTTCGTGGATGGTATAGTGCCGTCCTTAGCCATCTAATACCCAGCTTCTGCAAACAATTCCTAACGTCTTCGCTCTCAAAGCAAGGCCCCCGATCGGTTAGGATCATTTTGGCACCATATGGTTGGCCACTATGTGATGCATTAGCACGCCGCTGATCCTCATTGCCCGCTGATAAGGCACGGTCGCCGCCTCAGTCCATCGTGACAGGTGTTCTGACATTATCACGATGTATTGATTCCCACTGTTTGTCACCGGAAAGGGGCCCATGAGGTCAACTGACCACAGCTCGCCGATTTCTGAGACGGATATAGGCTCCGTGGGAGGGGTTGCCCCCGTCGCATCCCCTTTCATTTGGTGGCAGCGCTTACAGGACATCACATAATCCATCACCTCACTTCTCCTCCCGGACCAGTAGGCTGTCTGTCGAAATAAGTCGTACGTCTTGGTGCACCCTGTATGTACCGTCTCATGGCATTCGACGATAAGATTCTGTCTCTAGACGCCAGGTATTACGGGCACAAAATCCGAATCAGTGGCGTTCCAGAAAATTATGCTAGCCTTATTCAGCCTCAGCCTATCAAAGTGACTCTGGAACGTTTCCAGTTCCTCGTCTCCCTCTCAGTTTTCAATGCTCCCTCCATCCAACAAGGCGGCTGCGACCTTTTGTAACACAAGATCCTGCCGTTGGAGTTGCAGCAACCTTCCGGGTTCCAGTCCAACGATAAGGCGATTGGCTCCAGTCATGATCCTGAGAACCTCATCTTCAGCCTCTGGTCTTGACAGTCAACCAGCCAAGTGGTTCTCCTTCTCTGGCACGTGCTGGATTGTGAATTCGTACTCTTGCAACCGGAGTGCCCAGCGCACGAGCTTTCCGCGAGGATCTCTCGTGGTCCTGATACACTGCAGTGTTTAGCGATCGGTTTCGACATGAAACCCATGCCCAAGCAGATATGGCTTCCACTCATCCGGGACTCAAACGATCGATTCTCAATGGTGAATTACCTCTGTTCACTATTAGTCAGGACACGACTGGCATACTCGATAACCTCATTCCTCTGCTTTATTACTGCACCGATACCGCGATCACTGGCATCCGCAGCGACAGTGAGTATCTCTCCGACTCTGAGCAGTTTAAGAGTCAGTTGCTGATCCAACATCCGAGCTTTGACACGCTAAAAAGCCTCATGTGCTTCCCCAGCCCATTCAAATTTCCGATTTTGCTCGAGCAAGTCCTACAGTGGCGCAGCGATCTTGCTGAAATCTTTGACGAACAGGCTGTAGTATGCTGTTCGTCCAAAAAAACTGCCGCAGAGACCGCTTTGAATTGGGAAAAGCACAATCCTCGATCTTTGCTAACTTTTCTGGCAATCGGCTAAATTCTCCGTGACCCACTTTATGCCATAGCAGTGTCACCGAACCCCTAGCGAACTGTGTCTTGGCTTCATTTATCCGCTTCCTGGATCCGCTTCAATACAGCCTTCAACTGAACTGCGTGCTCTGGTTCCGAATTGCTGTACACAACGATATCCTCTCCGTATACGGCAACACTCTGAAGTCCTTTCGTTAAACAAGCACCAAGCACCGGAAGGTGAATGGTACCCTGGACAAACCAAACGGCATTCGTTCTAATTGATATTAGGTGTCCCTAACTGTAAACACCGTTTTCTCATGGCCCTTCTCCTTGATAGGTGGTTGCCAATATCCGGAACGCAAGTCAAACAGAGTGAAGTATCGGGAGTGCTAGAGGGAATCGAAAATCTCTGCAACTGAAGGGGCAGCTACAACCCGATTTACGGTCAGTTCATTCAAGCTAAGGAAATCAGCGCAAAACCTGTATTTTCCGTTCGCCTCCCTTACAAACACAACTGGGGAATTGTACGCACTATTGTCTTCTTCGATTATGCCATTTTTCAACATATTCTGAATATCTTTGTAATTTGCTACCCATAAGGTTGCTGAAAATCCGTCGATTTCAGCAGCCTTATGAGTAGTACATTGCAAGGCTACACATGTACCGCGATATTTCAAATATCGTAGCGACTGACACATGAGGCGGCCTGGTGCAGCACATTCAGTTGCCTGAGAACATCATAAACGGGAGACTCAGCTGGGTTTCAGGTGAATCTCTCGAGAAAAAAACAAATTAGTTCGCTAATCGCCTGAATCTGTTTATGGACCTCCTCCCGTAGATAGTGTGGCAACGGACGGGGGTCGAGAGCGTTCTGACGACAGAGGAATTTCGTGTTCATTCCACGGGCAGAAGCCAAACGGATATTCATCGCCCGTGAGCAGTTCGGAATATTCCTCGACCACGGACCGTATTGACGGTACATTACAAGACGGAAGTTTTCGGACACAGCTCACTCACGACAGTGCCTGGATAACCTTCAAGCTTGACTGCGCCATACCTTGTCACCAGCCTTCCCTGCTTTGAGTCATTACGCAATCTCTGCCCTTGAGAAAATCAGCTCTCAGTATTGTCTGGGCTGATCAGGAACGCGTGCAACACGGGCTTGCTGCCTAGGTGTATCGAGTGCGTCGACAATCCGTCAATATTCCGTCGATATCCACCAACAGCTCTCACGGCTAGCGCGTACGGTCTGCGTTCAGCTTGGTTCCCTCTTTGCCTCACCGATACGCCTGCTCCTGTATCAAGCAGACATAACTCCTTTTTCCCGTCTACCTCGACAACGGCTTGTATGGTAGCCTGTGTCAGCACACTAATCGCAACCCACCCCGGAAAACAGGAGTACTCTAAAATTTTATTTTGTACAAGTGATCGGGCACGGGGACACTGAGTCTTCCAGTGGCCAGGATTGCCACACATGTTGCACCGACTGGTTCTAGCGTGTCTCCGCGATCCCGTCTTCACGGCTGCCAGCTGTTCGGCGAGTTGGGTCACTCTGGTCTTCAGTCCCTCCACTGACGAACCATCCCTCTGCTCATGCGACTGCAACGTGGCCAGTGTGTGCCTCGGGCAGCTCCCGGGCCAGATGCACCAGCTCCTCCACACTCAACTGACCAGTTGCTTGTGCCAACCGCAACTGGACACCGAGCACCGGCTGTACGCCGGTGCGTGTCGAACTCCGCTGCACGGACTTCCTTCGCGGCAGTCAGTCCATGTTCCGAGGGCCCCTACTGGCCGCATCCAGGGACCGCCTTCCCCCGCCCCCTGAGAAGGGTCTTCAGCGCCGCCAACCTACCCCGGTCGGTCTCCGGTCCGGCAGCCCTCGCAACCTCCTCAAAGTCCTCCAGGAAGGTCCGAACATCCACATCCTCAAAGGGTTGCGGCCACGGGATCTCCATCCTTATCCTGGTCACGGCACCAAGTGAAAGGAAGGAGGCCATCGCTGCGGGGTTATCTATTACAAAATGTTAACTGACCGGCTACAGACCATTGGACAGGGAAGCAAAACTCTCATTTGCGTCTAATTTACAAGAACTCGACATCCATCCTTCCCCTAAACCGTCTTCCTGACCTTTCCTGGATATTCATCGGCTCCAATCATTCACCGCTCAAATCCAAGCAAACGTTACAGAGCGACTCCCCACATTCCGCAACACCAGGGGCTATGGGTAGTTCAACGCCGATTGACCTCACCGTGTGTTCTAACGCTACGATGGTCCAGCATTAGGGGCACGTTACCGAGTACCTCAAAACGAGTGAATATGCATACCTAGACATTAAGACATCGTTCAGAACGTAGCCGCCGCCCTACAGGATTTCCCGTCGGTCGCAGTGGTATAACGTGTGCACCTCGTGTTCCTGCATGTGCCACTCATCGTGTCTGATCATCTCCTGTGTGGCATGCTCCAGTGTGTCTGAGTGTTGCACCGGATTTTTCAGCAGACCTTTTGCATTCTCCAAGCATTTTTTCTCACGTAGCCGAAATGGACCATCCAGGATGTGCGTGCACACCACATTTGCGGGTGGTCAGGAAGATACGAGACAAATCGTAGGTCCGTGCGGTGCCGCATTTTTGGCTCTTGTCTGGATCTGTGTGCTAGTATCACTGTGACCTGGAACCTACCATACAACGTTGTCCATGCCAACCATACATTGGAATAGGTGTCGAGTTTTCGTAGTTTCCCTGTAACAATGGTACATGGATTTTGTATGGTACTTACGTGTTTTCGGCAAGTTTTTCTAAAACGAAAGTAACACAATACGACATCGCAGCAGAACACTACTTTCGCAGCCCGGAATTATGCCGCTAATTCGATCATCACAACTGACTTCAGGGGATACTGTCCGCCACCATTTATCTGGAAAAACGAAGAGTTCACACATGTGAGCAAATCATTCTCTCTCCATTAAGGTATACGTAAGCGGACTTTTGTTGTTCATGCTATTCGTGATCAAGAAGACGAAGAGCTTGTGTCTACAGGCATTGATCTCTTCCCGTGAGGTCCGATCCAGCTGTAGATGTAGCTCGTTTGCCTTCATTAGGGAATAATAGATCATCTGTATTTAGGCTACGAACCAGCCCTCTACACTTAGTTGGGCAATCAGCGAGGCGTACAATCTACGGCATTGTCCGATCATCCCAGCGATGCCTGCATTTTCGAGCATTACCAAAACCAATGTGTCACAACAATGATGGCTACAGCGAGGCCACACACAGTTTGCTGGCACACCCTCAACTAATCTCTTCACACACCCAACTGTCTCCTTTCATTCTCTCGGACCATTATTCGCAATTCTAAACAATGTACTAACCAGCCCCCAAACCCCGAGACAAGTTTGCTCGAATCTGTTGAAGCTTTCGTTCGGTTTACGTCCCTCGGTTTTCCACCGCCCCTCCAGTCTATCCCATTCACACCTTTGACGTATGGCCCTACGGAACTCGTCCAGTCTCATGTGTCAGCACTACTTCAACCTCTCCAGGAACATCTACCACCTGCTCCTATCCAACAGAGATTCCAGTCGGCACATCTGGCTTGTCTGTGCACCATAATTCTGGGAGGCAAGCTGCCATTTATCCCTGTCATTAATTTCTCTATCTCGTCATCCATCTTTGCGCCCTTTATAGCTTCATCCATAAACTCAACTCTCGAAGGTGTACCTTTATTTTACTTCCATTTTTACACTACGTATTTCATCAATTGCATAATCGTTTTTTGTTTAAATACGAAAAGCTACAAAAATCGCGCACTTGTACAATTTATCATAATTCAAGCGTGGTCACGTGCTTCGACTCTCTCTTCTGATTTCACTCGCGCTTGCAGCGGTCATTTTCGAGTCTCATGTACTAACCCTGGTACCAAAACATTTAAGACATCTTCGGAATCCATTATATGTGGAAGCTGTTCAGAAGAAGACCTCTGGACCAACATAATTGGATTATTGTTTATTCGCTGACCTGGGCCAACGACGAACTATTTTAAAGAAAACAATTGTTAGTGAGTCTGTTCCATCTGACCTCATTTTTTTTGTATACCCAACCTAGCGTAATTATTTTTATTTCTTTACCACACACTCCTGGTAAACTAATTTTTTGGGTAGCCAGACCACTACAAAGGTCACAGAGGCGTGGCAACGGCTTTCGGGTTTAGCTTCAACCGGCCGAATTTGTCGATGATATAGTCATACCTCCGTGGTCCCGCTGTTTTAGTTACTTCCGGAATTTAAAATTTCAAATCACACTAACATCGCCTCTTTTCAGCCATGTGCTAGCCGCCACATTCAAATTTTTGCAGCTACATCATGCCTTAGTCAGTACGCTCCCCGCAAACCGGGAAACAAACCTATTTCTATTGGCTAAATTTTGAATTATCGTTGTTGATCAAGTTAAAATAGTTTCTTTTCAGCTCAGGTTTCAGACTGCACTGTATTCCATTAGCGCCCACTCTCTCCATGCACTCCAGGAAAACGCCCTGTTCAAACAACAGTACTGCATGTATGTGACTTAGGCCAAGTTGTTCAACGGAGCTCGTTTTGGCGCCTCGGGAAATATGCATTAGTCTACAGCCTATTGACTTTCAGCACGCTTTTGGGTTTCAGAGTAGGTAACCACCCTTTGGGACTACAGGCTTGAGTCGCGATTTGGGCGGTCTGGTGAAGTACTCTCAAACGCTGCGTGTCTAACCATAAGCATATTTGAACGCTTGTCTCTCTGAGTTTTTGACGCGAGTATGCCTCTGAAAGGAATGATAAAATCCCACCAGTAATCAGGTGTAAAAATCAAGAGGAACATCTGTTAGACCGAAGCAATTTTTGCATACACACATGAGCAGTATCAAAGAGAGGAAGATAATCAATGGAGACACGGTATCTTGAAACCGAACCACTGTGACACTTGCTAAGGAGAAGAGAACCGCAGAACGACAAGCTGAAGGCTGCTGAGGAACCACTTTCAGGAATTATTGAAAGAAGCAAAAGGATACAAAGCCAGTGGGTTAAAATTGCTCTGACTGTAGTACACGGAAAATATTAGACCGCATACCCAGTACCAAGAAAATGCATCTGGTTAGCCTGTAAAGCGGAAAGATAGTCTAGAAAAATGGGTCAGGAAAGTCTAACCAGCCAAATAAGTTCATGAGACCTGGACTGCAAGACAGTGACGTTTGGACCACAGATAGAAAGCTAAGGCGTAAGTGCTGAAACAGCTTTTCACAGGGGGATGAATTCACAAGGCATGATGAAATACAGACAGGCCAACCAGAAAGACGACCACAATTAACGGACCAACGAAATGCGTGGAATGCCAATTCCAATAGAGCACAAGTAATAGTGGGCGATTGAATTAGGGGTGTGCTGTATATAGACCAACTGGTTGTAGTAACCGATATCAAATACTGCTTAAAGAAGCCTGTAAAACGAAGGACGCTAATAAATAAGTGTTCCCTGTCTCTGCACTGACGAATTTCCCGCGAATGATGATGCGACGTTTGCAATGGAACTTCCAAGATAGCCGAGCGGATCAATAACCACCTGAACTCAGATTTATTAACGCGCGCAAGCTGTCCGTCTTTCGAGATTATATCAATGGAGGCTTTCGTTCACCGACGTTTTTAATACTCATTCCTTCCCCATTTAACTCAACCCACTCAAGATCACGGATTTTCTGTTGAATCCAAACGGATACCTCTATGACTGACACAACCCCTATTGGGATTGTTAGACAGCGGTTTCTTTAAGCTATTTCTGTCTGCCCTGACCCCCTTTCTAGCTTACGATGATAACATCGCCTAGACTGTAGCTGTATTTCTCACTTCATGATCGAAAGAAAATATCCATTTCCATCCCCAGCGGCATCTATCCACGGGCTTTAGCTCGCCATATGTTCCTCTTCCAATCCCGATATTTTCCGGTTAATGCTAAGATCCCAAAGCATTCTTTGGGTGACTTCCTGTGTGTGACTCATTTCTGCACGCAAACCCCAGAGCATTCAACCAAGCTGGTTATAAACGACTCGTGGTGGTTTTGAAACAATCTGGACCTATTATGTTCATCCTAGACGCCTATTTTCATTGTTGTTTCGGGTCAGTTTGCAGGGTTTCTCTTGGATTCTCCAACGCGCTTTACGTTGTTCCCACACCCTTGAGATCTTGCAATGGTAGCAAACGCCGTATGCATGGAACTTGACCTCATTGTTCCTGGAAGCATCTATCAAACCGTTCCCTGCAGTCAGAAAAGTACTTGCTCTAAACCTATCATTATCCTCTTGAGATGCTTTGCTTTATTTCTGGCCCCTTCAATGAAGTAGAAAGCACGGGCGACCATTCATCGACCTATGATACCCAAAGCATGGGCAACATAAAAAATGATGTGCTTTAATCCCCGAACACGGATATTCCCTCATGAGCTAACTTAGCTGTTAAGCCGGCAAACGACACCAAGCAATGAGTGTTGGAAGCTATGCAATCGCTTTTGTAGGTCAACTGGCGTGCTAAAATTTACTGATAAATTTTAGAAATCTTACTAATAAGTTTGTCTGCAGCCAGCTTGATCATAAAAGACACCGAAACGAACCCTTTAGGCCAATAAAATGATAGCTTTACAGGATGTCCAATCTGTAGAGAATGATTTTCGTATTTTCCAACCTAACATAATGACTTCCATTCGCAACATTGTGGCATCCTGAGAAAACATGAATTCCTTTGTCAACTCTTATGCTTTCCTACTTCCGTCATAATTTTATCCTCATTACCAATTCAGTGTTCACTATTCTTGACGGTCATTCACACAAAATTACTTATGATTATTGCTTGGCACTTCTTGGCGACTCTGTCTTTCCGAGCAACAACAGCATCACTGTTACGACTGATGTTCCAGATATTTATATTTTATCCTATACTATCCTATCCTGATCCTACCTATTAAATGGCACCCATATGGCATTCAGCTGTCAATC